GCTATTAAATTTTGTGTAAGTTATAAATGAGGAAGAAACGTTATTATATATAACATTGTTGCACAAAGAAAATATAAGTCTTTATTATCTTTTAGGTGTTGTAGATTTTATTATCGATCAATAAGTTAGGGACCCATTTCACAGAGAATCATTTATTAAGAATTATTAAATTAATTTTATTGCACGTGTGCTTTTTTACGTATCCCAAATTAAAGCATATATCACCTAAAACGAGTATTTTGGTTAAATCGTATTGCGGGGAAAATTGCCGAATATTAATTCTCGTAATTAAATGACGTAAATCAAGCGGAATTCCGGAAAATCGCCGACCATGGATATTGCGATGCACCTGAATACACATGGTCGGAATAAAAAAAATTGAACGATCTAAAATAAATGCGCGTTTAGAGATAATTGGAATGTATCTGACACATTCAAGACTATCAGTATATTAACTAGATGAGACACAACGCATTAAACGAATGAGAGCCGCAAATATTAAGATTTCACAGATGCGCGCACGCAAGGTGGATATTTGCACCTCATATCACATATTCTACCTCAGATGTGCTGCGGAACACACAGGTAATGGAAAACGCGCGTTAATCTTCCCTAATTTTCCTCGGCCGTGCTAGGCGCGCCCACTAATTTTGCTTTGTCGTCACGATAACGACGATTAACGACTCGGCGGATGCGGAGCGTTTCGTTGAGCATTTTGGCGTTAGGTCTTTAATATGTTGGAATAGCTAAGTACCATGACATTTAATGGTAAACTATGACGCAAGAAGCAAATATATGTGTCGTATTTTGAGTATTTCTCGAGATTATTTAAAGCAATTGACGAGAGAGATATCATGAACAAAAATAAATTTTAATTTTCGCTTAATAATGCTTGTGATTTATTAGATTCCTTGAATAATTTAAAATTGCATATTTTTGAACGAAAATTTCATCCTACGTTTTACATTTTTTAATATTGTGATATTCAAATTTTTTAATATATTTGTTGTTATCAATTGTTGCATCAAGTTATATTTTGTTAAAGTTTGTTTTGTAAAGAGATAATTAAAGTTTTTTTTATTATTTTTATACTACAGATATGTGCATTTTGTAAAATTTATTAAACTTTCAAACATTACCAAAAATACTTAGAAACTGTTGGTGTTGATAATTTTTTATTAAGAAACAAATATTTTTATTAATCAAATAATTGTTATTAATAAAAATGTTTAACATTGAAATTAAAAAATGTTTAACATTGAAATTAAAGATATGTATAAATATATATGTAAAAAGAAGAAATTTTTATAAACTAAAAAATTTGAGACGTTCTACATGAAGCAAATTTAATAATTTTACTATTTCTGAATTCACACATAATGTCATAATAAGATTCTTGTTTACAGAAATTTATATTTTTGAAAATTATGTATTTTTTTATATTCAAAACTGTCAATTCCCTTTGTTAACAAGATTCTTTTTAAGTTTGTTTTTAGCAATACAAGCAGTAATGTTCATCTGTGATCAGATAAAATAATTCTGTAATGTTTAATTCTCAAAATACCTAGCGTCAGATTTTAATTATATCCATTAATTTGCTTATTTATACATACATTAAGCAAATATAAATCAGATAATAATTTCTGTCTTCTTTGATGTCTTCAGATGATGAATTCAACGATTATTGATATCCCCTTTTATTATCCAAATTTCACACACTCCTGCGCGTGTGCGGATGGAATAAAATGAGATATCAATATATGTAAATTTAAATTTAATAATAATATAATAATATATGTAAATTTAAATTTAAGTTCTATTATTATTGATAATTTGTCACCATCGAGAACAATTGCATATACTATATATTTGCAAGTAATAGAAATATTAGCAATTTTAAAAGACAAATGTTTTCTACAAATTTTCAAACCGTTGAAACTCATTGAAAAATCATCATGAAGTTTCAACTTTAACGCGCAGTCGGTGATTATTTAAGATTTTTTTATTTTTCTTATTCTGCACTTTAAAAAAGAACACACTGTTTAGTTCCTTAAAATGTATTTTTAACACACTATAACTTGATAACTAATTTTTCTCGAGAAATTCAACTCAAATTCTATAAATTACATTTTTCCTGCAAATAACTTTTTTAAAAATTTTTCGTGATTTCGAGGAAAATAGATCAATTCTGCTATATTTTTTATTACGCGATAAAAAAATTGCATACAATTTTTACTTTGCATTTAAATTGTCGATGAACGAAATGTTTTCAAATAGATAAATAAAGTTGAAAATATGTAAATACCAAAGAAAATTTTTCAGTATCTCTGCAATCGATTATTTTAAGTCGAGAGACACATGCTCGCGCATTTGATCTGACAATAAGTTTGATATATGAGTGGAAATCTCGGAAACGCAGATCTTGGGATCTGGCGTGTATTTCCGCAAATTTCATTTCAAATCCAACGAGCACGCGCCGATCGTAAATCTCACAGTTCCTGTTTCCCTAATCAGTGAGTCTCTCGCTCACTGATGAAATGGATAGAGGCGAGGAAGCTAATGCGAATTAAGCGACAGTCTCCCCGGTCCTCATACATGACGATCATAAATTTCGCGCCAACAGCATCCCTAATCAGAGGGACAATATGAGAACACGACAGAGAGAGCTAGCGTGAGAGAGGACGAAATTACAGGCGCGTATCTAGTCTACTCGATACCTTCTTATCCAGGTGCAAGGCAGAACGGGCGAGAGGCAGACCTAAGAGAACTTTCATTCGCTGGTTCACAAAGTCGTACGTCATGTCGAGCCTTTTAATGGCCTTTTAATACTAGCTTACAAGCGCTGTTTCCCCACCCGCGCAACTCTTTCACCGTTGGCCTCTGAATAAAACGCTCGAAGACGCGCTCTCCTCTTGTTGAGATGCCATTGCGTCTTTCCATCGGGCTTGCTCTCCCTCCTGGACCTGGTAATCGAAGATTCCTGAGGGTTTATGTCATCGGTCGAACAGCGCTTCGTAAAACGAAGGCGAAAATTCCAGGCGGAGGGAGAGTGCGCGACTTTCATCGTTTAGCGCACAGCCGGAGAGCAGATCTCTTCTGTTCGTGAGGATACCTATCAGTGGTTACGCGCTGTTGCGCGTATCTCCCCGCCGGATCTTCTTTGTTACTTCCATCACGCACGGATGACTATACCCATGGATATATACGCGGATGTGTTTACGACAAAATGATAGAGATAAGCGGTGATCCCTAATGACCTTATGATGCCGGACAATTCAGTTTAATGTCCAACAATTAAATATTCCTTATCTTCTTATTTCGAACGTTATTAGTAATCAGGGATTAGTTGCGGTTATTCTTTAATGTTCTCCAAATTATGCAAATTTCAGACTTGGTAATGCTTATTACATGTTATCATAGTTTGAAAAATTTTAGATCTGATATTATATAGGTCGTATAAAAAGACATTAAGAAGTGTTTGATCCATGATATGCTGCATATTTTTTTTTATATTATATATAATATTATATATAATATTATATAATTTTGTATAATATAATAATTATATATAATATTATATAATTATATGTAATATTTTGCTAAACGGTAATTGTGACGTCAGATATTTCTCACCCTTCATTATCAGCTATTATTGCAATTGCTATCAATTTTCATCGTATATTTTCACGAATAAAGTAATAGCGTGACGGAAAATTTATTTATTCACGAATAAAGTAATAGACGGAAAATTTATTCAGGACTTTACACTGAGAAAAAAATCTGGTTGCATTAATTAGAATTCTGGTAGATTCAACCAGTATGTCTGTTGGAAAATGGACGAACCAGAATTCTTGTAGGAATTACTGGATGAATCTGATTAATTTCTTCCTGTTAAATTTACCAAATTTTCCCGTTAATAATATTAAACTCATCAGCATCAAATCGTCTAAAATTTTTTTCATCTAATCTCAAAAATCTGTTTAATATTTTGAATTCCAACACGATTATTGCATAAATTCAGTCTAGATTATTGAATAAATTATTTTAAATTCAGTTTGTTAGAAATTAAATTGATAAACAGTGATGCAAGAAGAGGATGTAGCTCAAACACACACAATCAGAGAGCTAGCGTTCTCTTTCTGGCACTACTACTCCTAAGAAAAAAAATATACTTTGGATTTAATGTTAATACTAGTTCTTTATACACATTTCATGGCAAATATTGAATACGAGTTAAGTTAAGAAGCAAGCAAAGAAATTAATGTAACAAGAAATTTTATAGATCTAATCAGAAAATACTAATCAAATCCTTATAGTAAAATCTATTAAACATTCTAGTTATAAAAAATCGAGTCTTATCATGATAACTAGAAATTCTTGTTTGATTCAACCAAAATGCCTTCAATTATATATGTCTTGTTGGTACAATCAAACGATTTTTCGCAGTGTATAAACACGATAAGCAGCGTGTCTTGTACAGAATTGTTTTGAGAATAAAATCGGAGGATAAAAGATCCAAGTTCCAGCAGTTGCTGGTAGTGGAATTCTTTCAGAGAGAATATTAATGCTGCCGGGAGGAACTGTGCATCGTGTCTAGTAGTCTGTTAGACAGCCCCATTATTTGCTCGCCTACCCACTTCGAATGCATTAAGAAATATTTTCACGGGACTCTTCCATTATGCACGTACGTCCGCGAGAGTCGATCCGCGATTGCCGCGTTTAACGTCGAGAAGCGCATTTCTTATTCGATAACGCAGGAGTTTGATCATTACGTCATTGATCGCTCGCGAGAGGATCTCGGAGCCTCGATAAATCGCGGCTCGCACAAACCGGTGCTCTCCTACGTAATCTTTCCCGACATCGAAAGACATACTTATATAAATATCCGCAAATGTATGCGTGATCTCTCTGGCATAAAATGTAACGTACAATTTTTTTATTTTTATTTTATTTTTATTTTATTTTTATTTTTTTATTTTTTATTGAATCGATGCGTTCTGCTCGTCGCTCTCGCGAGTCATTTAGAAGCACTTTATGATTTTAACAAGAATGTTCGATATTACATACGGGATTCTTTTTATATGTGCAACGCTGCAATCGTCATTTTCATATGGTTTCCAGAGAAGCATTTACTGCGAAGCGCTTATTTTCTGCATTACTCCGTCCTGGCTTAACGCAGATTATAATCGTTAGAACAAGTTTCTAGAATTTGCGTAAAGTTTTCTCGAAGATCTTTCGATGTTTTGCCTTAGTTTCATTAAAGTCGACATTATCGTCTTCTACAAATAATGTTATAATTCTTGCTCGTAATAATTCTTGCTCACTTAATCTTTTAATTATATTTGATCTTTTTTTACATATAAAACTTGCTATAGATGTAATATGTATCTTCATTAGCAATCGGTGCTATTGCTTTTAATCGTCTCGAGAGATGTCTCTCTTTTTTTTAACCATTTTCTTGCTACTGCACTTAGCTAAGAATTTTAACTCTTCTACGATCTGATCTTTGTAAGATACCTGTAATGTAAAACACAACAATTTTTATAACATTATAGAAATAATTTCTGTGAGAAATATACGGAATTATTTTGAATTATTAAGCATGCTGTTACCTTGTATCTGGTTGCAAGATTTCGAACATTCCAAAGAAATGACCAGCCTGCAAAAAGCCACGACAACATAACGCCGCTTATCATGATTAGAAATACTCCGCTGACGTCTTCAAAATTTAACGCTTTCACTTGGACTTTTATCTTTTCCTATAAAAATCAAATTTTCAACATTGATAATTTTTTCAAACGTCATGGATAAATGATTGTGGTTTAACGTTTAAGTAGTGAACTAAAGTTTTTGCAAACTGAATATAAATTTTTCTCCAAGTTGCGTCATAATAATTTAAAATTTACCCAGCAGTTTACTTCGTAAATCTTGAAGTAACTACACTTTGGCTTATTCTTACTTTAACTTTGGCTTACTCGCTTACGCGCCAAACACGCGTCAGAATCGCTACGTCGTTTCTAACACGTACAGACTAAATCGGTAAAGTTTGAATCAACTCACCTATAAATGCGGCCAAATAACGTGAAATACTTTGCCATGTTTTTTATCTGTACGTGTAATCAAATAAATGAAAGAAAAATAAAAAATCAATAACCAAACGAACAATTGAAAAAAAAGTATTTTCGATAATTAATTGAATCTATAATAATTTGAAGTGATCTTATGTCTTTTTTTTTAACAACAGCACTTGGAAAAAAAACCCATTAATTAAATCGCGATTTGGTTGTAATTAATATTTGATGAATAGTGCTTTCACAGAAACCAAACGATTCATAAATAAAGTTGGAAAACAGAGATAGAGAGGAAGTAAAAATCAGAGATAAAAAAAATTTCCTGGCTTAGTTAAATTTGACTCAAATTACATCAGGCGTTCGCAGACCACATCTACATACTTTTTATAATTTATTTATAGGAATTTTGTCTCAAATAAATTAGAATCCGACGTGAATGATTTTTAAAGAAAGTACCTTGCATTATTAAATAAAGTTTTTAAAATAAATAAAATTTAAAATAAATAATTGACATACTAATCAATCAGTAATCAATCAATCAAATAATTATCTATGAGATAAGGCACATTTTAAAAATTACGCACGATAATATGATTTATATAATTTCATTTTTGCGGTGAAATAGGCGGAGTCGATAATATAAGACAGAAGCATAAACATCACATACTTCACATTCATTGCCGCCTCGTTTCTGTTTCCACCATTTATATTGCAATTCATTGATTATACCGTTTTCCTGCAGCTTTAGTATAGCACCACTGAAATCCGTGCGATAAGGCGCATCTGTCATCGACATTTTATTTGATTAAAAATGAAATTAAACATTTCAATCGTTTCATCGACTCTGAGATAATTAATATGACGTATAACAAATTGAGAGCAATTAAATGGAGATATATGTATCTATAATATTCAATTATTATTATATTGTAAATTACATAAAATCGAACCACCTTTCTTCATTGCTATCCCGTAGCTCTTGGCATCTAAAAGTCCACCGACCTGCGTTACATTACACTTTCTCTGCTTAATATACTCAATTGACGTGGACTCTATGAGATATGCATAATTCTCTTGCTGCACCTTCCGCACACCATCTTCGATCTTTTCAATAAGTACCTCGTCAGCATGATCCATCATATAACTATACATAATATTGTATGCTTCGTGCGAGGAATCCTGCAAAACGAGATCGATCGCTCCAAGTCCAGAGGCTTTCATAAATAATAATAACGCGAAATATTATCGTCAGCCAATATGCGTTAATAATAGTCGACAACTATCTAGCCTCTTTTACAAATCATGTCATTTACCTTGAAGAACGAGAGCGTAGATCCATTCTTTTTCGCGCCGTACTTGATTTTCTGTTGATAAGCCAGATTTTCCGCCTTCTGGAAGGGCCATGCAACGGATTTTGTGGCTAACGCGGCTGCCAAATTGGCAACGTACGTCGATCCAATGATTAGATTGAAGAACCACCATGAAACAGTTAAGGTTCTTGTTGAAATTCCTCTGAAATATATTATTTTGTTTTTTATTTGTATTTTATTTTATATTAAATTGAGCATTTTTGAGCAATATTACATACTTCTAATGCGATTGTCGTGAAAGTCTTTGGATTCGAAAGAATCATTTAAATTAAATTATAATTAAGATAATTATTAGGGGGAATAATATGATTTTATTATTATTATTAATATTTTTATTATTATTATTTTATTAATATTTATTATTTATTTTTATTATTATTATTAATATTATTAATATTATAACATATTGTAAAGTTCTTTAACTTTTCCTTATGTTAGAAATTACAGATTAACGAGATGATTAACGTGAAATAAGATTTGGTATTATTTTTTTTAAATATGCTGTTTATTTTTTTAAATATGCTGTTTATTTTTTTAAAATATGCTGTTTAAAGTCTATGATATTTTTCGTCACAAACAATCACAGATAATGCAATTTTGACTATAATTATTAATTGCACGCAGCGTAACTAACTCTTTGACGTATACAAAAATCTGCAAGGATATAAAACTTTATTGTGCACTTGGTAAAAGTTTAATTGCATGTAAGAGAAATATCTCAGAAACATTCTATGATGAGCTTCACGAAGCGAAGATCAACTCACACGGGTGCAAATCCGGTAGAACCCTTTAGTAAGGCTCCGATTACGAAGAACGGAGTGTCCATTAGAGTGAAAGGCGTTTCCAATACTTCCGGCTCTCTGATACAAGGATATGGATTTGTCCATTCGGTGGGACAAAGTTTCCCAATCACGAATAATAACATTGACACAACGATGTAAGCTACGATCAGATGCACCCACACGTCTACCGAGAATGGTCCTAGAAAGGATAGTAAACTCAGACGAACGGCCGTTGGTTTTCTGTAGAGGACGCTTATTCCTAAAAAAAAAATATTATTTGATTAAGACGTAAATAAAATTTCACGATTTATTCTTTATACTTAATGATTTCACACCGAGAACATGCGACATCATGTTTTACCTAAATTCATAAACGGACTCGTAAAATCTACAGCATTCTGTCTTTCTGCAGTGATCGTCAGATCTGTGATCGCTAAGTCCGCTGTCTTCAAAATTAAAAGAAAAATTTTATCATTCTATTTAATATGTAAAATATAATTTCAATTCATTTATTGATCGTACACAAATTTTTGATTTTTATTATTTAGAGGGAAAATAATGAAAATATAAATATATATTTCTTTCCGACAATATGTTAAAATAGATATTAATGAGCTGATGATTTATTTTAAGGAGAAAAACCGCTTAAAAATATAATATTACAGAAATATAGAGGTAGCTGCTTTATCGATGTAAGAAGTTACAACGTGTTTCAACATCTAGCATGCAATGAAAGGTAGCAGCACTACTCGCGAACGAAGGTCGGTCAAGTTTATCATGCGCTTATGTTGTTTATATGGGATTAAAACGTGAAGAAATGCCCCATTGACTTACTCCAGCGATTATTCTTCCTAACATGCCGTTCCACTGGCCGGTTGTTTTATTGAGCGATCCATACACGTTGTCGGCTTGAACTTCAAAGGTGTAATTAAATCCCAGTATCTTGCTCATTTCTTGAATTATATCGATCGCAAAGCCCTCATATCGATCGTTTCCAACTGTTATAGAAATTGATTGTTTAAGCATTCCGTATGGCTCGGTCTGAAATTTATTTTTATCTAATCAAGAATATTTTTTAGCTTTTTTATATTATATGTATTGAAAATTATATTTAAAAAATTATATATATATATATATATATATATATATATATATAAAATGAAAATGCATATGAACATAGATAGTTATGTGGTTGAAAATGCATATGAACATAGATAGTTATGGTTTCTTAATTGCAATAATATTTTCTTTACAAGGAAGCAATTAAAATACTGTATTATGATTGATAATATTGAGTTATGTGTTTTATTATATTATTTGATTGTGAGTGTATCATTATTTCCATCACTTGCTTTTTGCATAAAGTTTCACATGCATGCATATATGTGTTTTATTTGAACTTAAAATTTCTTTTATGATACATTTTATAAAATTATTGCATTTTCTTCATTACATAATCGCGTCATAATTCCCTCTTGTAGCTTAATAATTAAAAGATTCAAAAACATTACATTACACTTATTTTTTCTTGATGATTTAATTAATTATAGATTTTAAAGAAACACATTTCAAGAAACAAATATTATACTGGAACATACTAACGATATCATGACAAGAAAATGTTTGTCACGTAAACTCTTCTCATCATTCACTTCAGGAATTCTATGCCTCGGATCCCATTGAATACCAACATTCGTTTCCCATGTTCCGATTTTTCGCAATCCTTGATATCCGAGATGTACAATGTCCAATTGGAATTCGGTCCGGAATCCGGCAGTATCGAATTTTATCATTCCGCTCAATCCGTTTATTTGCTCCTAGCATCAATTTAAAGAAGGATTCTCTGATTAAAATATTAAGGAGCGATGCAAGATAAAATTGCATTATTTCTTAAAATAATTTTTAAATTAATTTTCAACATATATATATATACTTTTTTCTTTTTTTTGCTAAGAATTAGAAAAAGTTAGGCTCTATTTAAATATATTATTAATTTAAATATAACACAATATATTTAAATATATTGTGTAATCAAACACATACATTTCGCATATAATTACTCAGGCTGGAACCGTGTCCCCAAACTTCCGTACCATTGCAGAATAACTTCTTGAGATTTCCTTCAACGCTATCGCGTAATCGCGCATAACCGCTTGCAAAAAGTTGAACAGCATCGTAAGCAAGAGCTGGTTCCACTTTTAAGTGAGAACCGTTCGTTAAATTCCAATTGAGAGACCGAGATTGCAGAATACGTTGAACAATTGGACTTTGCGGATTGATTAAACGGACGCCCGTTAAATTCACTCCGGAATATTGATACGGTTCTAAATCCAGAGTCTGCAAGTCCTAATGAATATTATATAATAAATATAATATTAATAATAAATAAAAAATATTAATAATAAATAATTAAGATAATAATAATAAATAATAAAATATGTGTCATATATATGCATATCTGTAACTTCGTTCGAATCAAATAAAATTTGGAAGATTGATACAATTAAAAGTAGTTTTTATTTGAAATCTAGAAATGATGTATTTTTGTATATGAATTTTTGTAATTATAAAATATAATGTTTCTATGTCTTATAAAAAAAGCGATAAGATATCTTACCAAAGAAGTAACGATCACTCTATATTTTTCTGATAGTATTCCGACTTGCTGTGCTTGCTTGAGAACAGACGAAAGAATGTCATGTGAACAATCGATTATGATATTTCTGTAATCGGATATTTTTACTTCTTTTATGGTTTGCCTGCACACAAATAAATTATTCCGTTAATTAATTTTCGTATAGCTCTTATATCTCTTTGAAAAATTCTTGGCAATGGCGACATGTGGCTGTGCGAGCGACGTTTGCATCATACTCAGATAGTCATATCATAAATCATCGCGATATTTTCTGGCGTTTACGGCGGAGCTAAATAACGACACAGGTGCGGAATAACTTTGTTTGACAAACGTCGTTTGTGCATGCACGCAAGCTTGTTCCAGGAACGACCTATTTATATGGTCCATGCATGCTTACCTAAAATTTGGTCCACTTCCCAAATGAAATGCCATGGCGGAAATGGTACAGCCGCCTGGCAATTTTAGCAAACGACTTATGCGAATCAGGCCATCCGTGTTGTCGTAAAGTATTGCATATTTTTGCCATTTGTATTCTTTTATTAGATCATGAAAAACCTAAATTATATATACCAAAAATTAATCTCATTAATATTAATCATTGAAATATATTAAACAGCAAAGATTTTAATTTATGATACTTTTGTGTTTTTGGTATAATTTTATCATTATTTGATTAGCAATTATTTGATTAGCAATTAGTAAATGTTGCATCTTGAAAAATAATATGTTTGCAATAAAAAAATATCAATCCAAGAAAAAGTGCAGTAAATTTGAGATATTTATTTAAATAGTTTGTTTGTAGAGCAATAAATAAAAAATGTTTGTATGCAATATTATATATTGCCTTTCTATTTTAATTTAAGTTCTTTTTGTAAAGTCTAATTTTGCATTTAATTTATGATACTTTTGGTTTTAATTAATTCTATCATTATTTGATCAGCAATTAGTAAATGTTACAGCTTGAAAAATAATAATGTTTGCAATAACAAAAAATATCAATCCAAGAAAAAATGCAGTAAATTTGAGATATTTATTTAAACAGTTTGTTTGTAAAGCAATGGATAAAAAATGTTTTTGTATGCAATATATTGTCTTTTTATTTTCCTTTTTGTAAAGTCTAATTTTACATTTTCCTAAAAAATCGAAAATAAGTTGATTGCAGTTATGCGGCCCAAGTTATTTCTAAGTGATTAGAGATATAAACAAGTACCGTGGAAAGCATATTAGGGTGTGGGTATAGATTTATCCCATTGCTGTGTTTTGATTTGGAATCCCATCTGGCAGCAATATAAGGTATGTCCAAGGTATCGCACATACTTTGAACGTAATTCGCTGTCAGTTTGTCCTGGGGACCGAATATTCCGGCAATTCTGCTGTTTACTAATTTGCATGCTATACACAATGCCCAAAAATGTATAATACAATCTCACTAGTACACTTTAGTACACATTATTTATCGTATAAATTGAGATCTAATTTAATAAAGTTAGTAAATTGAACTATCTAGTCTACATATTTTAGTAAATATTTGTGGAAATTTATTTTCAATGATCGCATATAGTTTGAAAAAATTTTTAATAAATAAGCTGCAGAATTGCGAAAGTATATATGTTGTGATATTAATTATGATAATTAATTTGTTTTTAATTATGGATTATATATGAGAGTTATATAAATAAAAGAATGCGTGTATAATTTTATATTAATTTGAATATATACATAAAATGATAATATACCTATTTTTGCTACGCGAAAGGCATTCTTGTTGATTTTTTCGGTTCTCGATGTTAATAATACGCCCATAGCGTTCTCGGATGCAGTGATATTTTTATTCACTGCTTTGATTGATATCTTAAACGCTCTTTGAATCATTTCATCGCTATCGAATATACCTCCTGCGATTATTCAATTTTCATCAATGCAATGGATCAATTATGAATATTTTATTCCTATCACTCGTTATTTATGAATGAAAAACATACGACGCTTATGCTTACCAATAGGAATTCTTCTAGGAAATCCCAAAATAAGGGATATAAATGCAGCCGTAATATATAAAAGCAGCATTTCTCGACCATTCTAAAAGAGAATCATTCTAACAGCAATGCAATACATGCAATAAATGGTACAATGTATTATCAGTATTAGACAGTTTTTACTTTTCTAATAATAAAAAATTATAAGGATCAGTATTCAATGGTTTTTATTTTTCTAAAAATAAAAAATCTTATGGGAAATTTAAATTAATCTTGATTAAAATTAAGTTTGTCTTTGTTTATTAATATTATTATTTCATTGATGCTATTGCACTGCTACTTTATGTGACCTCATGCGTACAAATATATTGATATATACATATATATATATACACATAACTATAGTATATTTAGACACTTCTCACACCGCTGGATCATATCTACTCTATATAATCTAGCTAATAATAAAGCTTCTCTCAATTTATCTGTTGAAAACAACTGACATATGGTTCACTGATAATTTTTGTTAGTCGTCAGTAGTGCATAAAGATTCTTTTAATAGAGATTTCATGATTTTTTTCTCAAAGACAAATGATTTGGACAAATGATTTAATATATTAATATAATTTATAATACATTTTTTATTCAAATAACACAAACGTGTAAATATTTTAATGTTTTAGGTTTTGGTATTAAAAGCTCTGTCTCAACTTCGTTTTTATTTAAAACTATTTAATTGTTTTATTAGGAAAACAGAAATTGGTATTGCGACGTGACGCTTTTTAAGCTCCGTCACGGTGATCCTGTCGAGGGGAAAACGCGAACGCGGGGTCGTCCCTCGCGCCTGAGGGGGACCAATTTAAGATTGATTTTTTAGCATCAATTTGAGTTGCGTGCATAGAATGCGGTGACTGTGCGAGCGTGCGTTATCTCTATATGTAGATGAAGATCCCGTAAGATACCGAGTGAAGAAGAAGATACATGAGGATCCCGAATATACCGCGGAGAAGGGACTCAGAATGGACCAAAGGTTACCGCAGAAAAAGAGGTCAAGTACCGAGATCCCGCGTCGCCGCCAATCATATACCGGAACCATATTAATCCCGGCGATTTTCAGATAAAAGACGGCGGAAAGTCCGGACGGAGAAGCCACGAGCAACCTCCCAAGCCGACTGGGAAACGGAGGTGAAGCAGACGAGGATACGACCTGGACAGCCGGTCCCGTCTAAGCGAACACAAGAACTACCGTTTGAGACATCGTCAGCGAATTCTGGGCCCCTGTGGAAGGGCAACCGACCGTCAGCAGCCAAAATTTTGAAGGGGCGGAGAGTCGACCCCTTCTCGCTAATCTTGGAGAAGGTGCGCGGAAAATCGGCGAGGGAATCGAGGGCCTCGCGGACCCATCCCGTTCTCGGCACTGTCCGATGAGCCTCGAGCAAGATGATTTCACATCATTTACGAACCCAGAGGAGACGACCCTCGGAGGAAGCCGCCACGTCGGAAAACTGTAAGCCGCCGCACAGGTAGCCTCTCGATTTTCGTCCGGAATCAGCTGGCGTCACCGCTCGTAGGAGTACTGTCGCCTGGCGACGGTCGTATCCGTATAAATTCTCGCGTAAAGTCTGCATACTTTTATCGTTAATTACTGGGCGCCAGCTGTCCCCGGGTGTCGCGGATCTGTCTCTCTCGGGGGAGGTTCGTGCCGACAGTCTCGTGCCGTACCGCAATATACCGTTTCGTTTCTATATCGCATTTATTGTTAAATTTTTGCGCTACGTTCCGTGCCGAATTGCAAGTCCCGATGGGACGTGAAATTCTGGCCGTTCCGTACCGCGTAAAGAAAAGCGGGATTTGCGCGGGGATGTTCTTGGCGAGTCTGGGTTACCGTAAATTCGAAAAGCTGCTCTGCAAGAAAATTATCTACCGCGAACTCTCCGCCGAGAGATATGTAACCGTTACTATTCGTTTGAAATTATATTGCTTTGAGTCAGTTGTTGAGGATAAAAGGTCGCAATAAGACCGTTGAATAGAGCACAATAATATCCGCATTAATATCCTCGAGATTACCGTTGCAAATAGCCTCTAATAAATATTGAATGTATTGTCGCTCGCTATTACGGATTATTGTAAAGAAAACGTCGATGCGATTTATATCGAAATCTTTTGGGAGGCGCGTGTCTAGGAAATTATACCGAAATTATACTTGATTATTCCCCTGTAATCGTTGTCGGTTATTACCGAATATCAGCATTATAAGTTACCGTTAAAAATCACACAAAGTTTGGTTCGATTTATATCGAAATTGTACACGAGGCTGGTGCCTCCGAGTATGTTCTGAAATCATACGTGTCTGCTATATTCTGATCGTAATTCGGATCTCACAATTGATTGCCGCTGATTACCGCTGATTATTGTGTAGAATATCATTTAATTTATACCGAAATCTCTTAGCGAGGCTCGTGCCTCGTAGCGTGTTCTGAAATCTGGCGTAATATTGTCTATCGAGTGTTATAGATTACCTCGCCGTTAATTATTAAGTGATTTTTCTTACCGTGATTCGAGAAATATTACATTCGTTTTCATATCGTTTTCACCGTTGTATCGCGCATTATGAATAGATTATTTCCGTTATGATTACATGTGACCTTCGCGTTATCCGTTATAAGTCTTAAGTCCTTTGTCTGTCAAACTCGTATTATCGATTGTTTATATTCCGAAATTTATCTGTTCTTTCTTTTATTTTTTTTATCTACCGAATCTTATCTATTATACTATTCTTATCTCTGTTACATTGTTTATTCTGTATTCTAACTGTTCAATATATTTTAAGTAATTGTGAGTAAGATAAATTGAGCGTCGATTATTTCTCTCTTCTGGAAATCATCTAGCGTTCTCTCTCTATATATAATTCACAAAGAACCCTGCCCCTCTGCCACATACTGAGCCCTGGGTTACCGGACATTACCGTTACCGTATCGTTATCGTGGTACGGAAATACCGTGCCTGGCGCCCAATTTCACTCTCCTTTCCGGGGAGTTACAAGATACCGTACGCTACCGTAATCTTTGAAGATACCGCCTTAACAACTTTTAATATAATTATCATATTGGTCAAAGCTTGCACGCTACTCCCTCGGGATCGGCGTTCTCGAGGCGAGCAACGGTGTGGCAGTATTAATATAATTAGCAAGATAATGTCACTTTTAAAATTACGTTATTTATGGAATATTATAAAGCAAAAATGCTATATAATTTAATAATTTAATAATCTAATAATCTTTAATAATTTAATAATCAATAATTTAATAATCTTGCATATTTAAAAATATAAAGTTTCTAGGTATTATAAACTATGTATTTATGAGAATCATGTTGTATATAATGATTTTCTATTTTTACACTGAGAAACATTGTTTGATTGTATCAACAAGACGTATCTAACAGAAGGCATTTTGATTAAAGTAGAATAGTCATAATAAGAATCGATTTTTTATAAATAATTAGAATGTTTAATAGACTTTTCCTACAAAGATTTGGTTAGTATTTTCTAGTTGCATCTATAAAACTTGTTATTATATTAACTAAACATAAACACAGTGATACCATTTTTTTTGTAAATTTAGTATTATTACCAAGAAAATTTAATAAATTTAACAGGAAAAAATTAATCATACTCATCTGGTAATTCCTAAAGGAATTCTGATTCGTCCATTTTCCAACAGACATATTGAATGAATCTACCAGATTTTTAATCAATGCAACCAAATTTTTTCTCAGTGTAATTATTATGTAGTGACGTGGAAACGAAAATTTGCTTTTACAATTTATGAACTTTATCAAAATGAGATCCTTCTTTTTGTTCCTTTCGATTTGTTTTTTCTCAATATATTTTCTTCTCAATATATTGTATGTTAAATAATACAGTTTAACATGATTTTTACTATATAATATTTACGCGATTGCGAAAGCAAGATGCGAGCGCCAAAGTTGCATTGCGAAAAGTGCATTCAATCTTTCCTTTAAGGTGAAAATAAATCATTTTTTTAGTATAAAGTAATGTTGACATTACGGAATACACGATACTTTGCACTATCTATCATTTTCAGCCCATATTTAAACAAGAATATCGATAGGAGTCAATTTTTCAGATTGATTGATGATATGAAATCACTCGCGCAATTAATTATTATCACAAATTATTAGAATCACTAAAAATAAATCATCGACACTCGAGGAATACTCGTTGTTATTAATTTGTATGTGTACCATGAATTATCCGGCGCTCTCGGAGTCAGTGGTTATACTATCTCCTCATAACCATCGGTTGACTATTTTGACTACATGCAAGCTGGAAAAGTAGGTAATGGGGAATACTTTCTCGTATGCTGTTTTGCGCATGATCACCGTGGATTATTTCAATTTGAAAAGTTACCGTTGTCAGTGATACTGTGATTCATAATAATTTTGTGAATTTATAATCGCAGTAGAGTTCATCATGTGCGAGCGATAATTTTTCTAGAATATCTTGCCATAATGTTCTAAAATTGCCAATCTAGATTTAAAAAATTTACGATTGCCATTTGAAATATATTTATGTTCAGAATTAACTTTGCCAAGCTTCGGAAATTTTTATTAATTTATTTGGTGCGTTCGATGCTATATGTGACATATAAAAATTGCAATAATATTTGATATAATAGTAATCTTAAAATTACGTACTTCGCTTTTCTTAAAATTTTTCTTTTTTCTTTCTCAATCAAAACTCCATTTATTTTATTTTAAATGCAAACACACAGAGTTCGAAAGAAAGTGCACTTAAAAAATAGGCTCAATAATACTGAGGATCGTTAAGATATTATTAGTGTTAAAAATTTTTTGCTATTATTTCTCTCGTTTTTCCTGTCATCTTATCAAATGATTAATAGATGCAGGAAGCGAGAGGTTACTTAAAATCAATTATTATTCGTAAAAGCTATGTATGTTGTATATAGATATTACATATTTCTTAAAATTTTTTGTTCAATGCAAGTGCCCTAAAATATTTACGATGTGACTTTTGTAGTTTTACTCGAACGTTGTGATATAGACAACAAAGTAATAAATTCGTGCAAACGATAGCTTTGCATTTGTCTAAATTTGTCCCGTCATTATTTGTCATCAGTTGGTGATGTTGTTATTACTGTCGGTATAAAACCGTACGGTGGTGTACATCCTCTTGTGCTGTTATTTTCACTTTTACTAGATGCTCCATTTCCTCTTCGCGTCGGTTTAGAACTACTGCCTTTTGCAATGAATTTCAATTCGTTTAGCAATTCCTGTTTGAAAGATACCTGCACACACAAAATAAATTATCATATATATGATAAATAAATATAACATACAAACATATGTTGAAAATTAATTTTTACAATTATTGTTCTTAATATAGTCTAATAAATTTTCAAATCGTGAATTATAATCTAGGTAAGAAGTTATCAAATTGCTAAATTCGTTTAAGATTACCATATAAATGTTGTACGTCAATTTAATTTAAATCTCGATCTCAATACAAATTAATTTTGATTATCGCAATTCTACGTTATACTAAATTAGTAAAAATATATTAAATTTTTGAAAAACTGTTACGTTTCTTAAGGAAAGGCAGTATGAATTGTATGCTTTATAAATGAGGAGAGTTCGCTTACATTTTCTCGAATAGATATCCCAGCAATTTCCCAAAGTAATTCGATAATTGTGTACACGAATGATAAAGCCACTCCGACAACGAGGACAAAAAATACACCACCGACGTTATCAAAACCGAGTTCCTCTGGTGAACTACTGCCACCATTCTCCTATACATAATAAATGAAGATGACGTGATGTGTAATGCATATTTTATATAATACAAAAATTTTATAATTGATCTCTCGCTTACACGACACTTCCCTCCGCCTCGTTTTTGTGTCCACCATTTCTTCTTAAGCTCTGTGATTATCCCACTTTCGGAAAGTTGTAAAATTGCAGTATTTAAATAGTGTCTATAAGGTGAAACTGCAACAATAATATTTTATAATGAGAATGTGATTATTTGCTAAATAGGATAAGTTTTTTAATCGTAAAATAGAATTCAGTTATATATTAATAAGATTAAGATTAAGATTAATAAATAAGAATAAGATTAGGATTAATAAATAATTTTGCATCTCACAATATAAAAATATTTTAGAGTTTATATAGTATTTAAGAGAAATAACTTTTTTAAAATCTTTTTATTAAAAAGTAGAATAATCCAGTAAATTTAAAATTGAAGTTTGTGATCTCAGAATTACTATTAAATCATTTATGTGAATTATAACTCATTATTTTTTATTATATTATGACACAAAATATTTCTATTAATACAATTCAAATCCATATTTTGGTTTTTATCCAAATTATTTTTTATTTTTAATTTTGCGTTCAAACAATTAAAATATTTTATACTGATGATTATGTATTATTACAAATAATATAATTTTCATTCAAATTTCCAATGTTTTTTTATGATAATTTCAATGATTTTAGAGTTTACCAAATACAATATTATTAAGATAACATAAAAAAAATATTTAAAATGAGCAAGATATGCAATATTTTACTACATTATTATTACATATAATGTTACGGATATATTATATTTTGGTAAAGTTTATATATATATATATATATACATTTTTTAATCGCGATTCCGTAACCCTTTTCGTCTAATAGCCCACCTATTTGAGTCATATTGCATTCACGTTCTATGGTATATCTAAAATAATAATATTTTATGAACATATGAATATATATACGTGTATAATAAAATAATAATATTATATATATACTTACTCTATTGAACTAGATTCCATAAGGAATGCATAGTTTTGGGTTTTTACCTGCTGCAAGCCAATGTCATTGGACCTTGGCAGCACCTCTTTTTCATTTGCCATCATATATTCATACATCTTCCTGTACGTCGGATAATCACTGTCCTTAGAATTGGCAAAAGTCTTTTATCAAAGAACTGAATTAGAATTTCTTTTACTTATTGTGCCTATTGTCTAATATTACTATTACAATTATTAATATTGAACATCTATCTCAATGTGAATTAGGAAGCTTTTTTCTAGGATTATTTTCTTATTATTAGAATATTATGAAGTAATATTATTGCGGGAAATAATCATTAAAATTTATGTTATTTACGGAGGATAATTACGATAATATGCAAAGAACACTGTCGATGCAAGTATGGAGCAAACTCTAATAATATTCAAAGGAAAAACAGTTATCACGAATTAAGGATTTATTAATATTATTTCGTTATTCTAATTAAATACTTAATTGATTATATTTTGTAAAGGCTGATTATCATATTTACGATACAAAATTATCAATTATGTTATCACGTATATTTGTGATAATAATACCATGATAAATAAATGATATAAGCAGAAAGTAAATATAATGAACAACAAATAACTAATCATGAGATATCTTAAATTATCTTACGTTCAAGAGATTACTCTCATATGCTAAGAATAGCAAAACTATGAATATCCTGAAAAATCTATCACTACATACGCAATTATTTTTTATTAGATCGTTACATATGAAATAATATTTCATCAAAATAATCAGATAACTTTAGAGATAATTACATCAAGAGCAATTTATGCATGTTTAAAAATAGGAATTCATAATGTATCGATAAAGTTCAAAAATTTTGAAAACTAAGAGAACAATAATTTATCATTTCATATATTAAATATCTCATATTTTTATAATATATTTTTATAAATTAATATAAAGATTGGTAATATATTTTTTACAATATTAGTTCTAACTGTAAAATCACAGCATCATATTGTGCAATTCCTTAATTAATTACAATTTTAAAAAGATTGCTATACTTTGAAAATCGATAAGCTAAAGAATATTTTAGAAAGATTACGTCACATGAAAGTATTAACCAGTTATTAAATAATATTTGAGAGTTCTATATCATTCTATATCATATAAACTTTTCTATTATGTCATATGTAACAGTAATATTGTAATAATTTATCATTATTGCATAAAATATCATAATAAATGTTAAAAACTTACTCTGAAAAATTTGAACGTAGCTCCTTCATATTTAGCTCCATACATGATGGGCTCCCCCCCCTGTTTTGCTAATTCCTCAACATTATTAAAAGGATTTACAACAGTTTCAACTGTCAAAAATGCCGCCAAATTAGCAGTATAGCTAGAAACCATAATGAGACAAAAGAACCACCAGCAACTTGCCATCATCCTTGTAGATATGCCTCTGTGGACAATTTATAGAAACATATTTATACATATATTATACATATATTAGGAATATTATACATATATTATGAAACAATTTTGTAAAAATTGTTTCATAATATATGTATAATATTCCTTATAAATTTTTTTTTATAAATATTTTCTACAAATATTATATAATAAAAAATATATATATATAAAATTTATTGTTAAATAAAATTAATAAAAATTAATGAGAAAATGATTACTTAAAATTCAGTTGCAGTACATACACAAAGTAAAAAAAATCTCCAAAAACATATTAAAGGAAATGATAGAAAATAGATACACACACACACACACACACACACACACACACACACACACACAAAGAGAACAAAATTATTTTCATCATGTCTGTCACTCATTAATTATAAGAATTTTATTTATAAATCAAATTTCTCTCTCCCTCTCTCTCTCTCTCCCTCTCCCCCCCCCTCTCTCTCTTTTTTTTCTTTCGTTTCTTTTCTGTTGGCTTATATTGTATTATATATTATATATTATATATTATAACATAATAATTATAATAATTATAATTTTTTATATCGATATAAATATAAAAGGCACACTTACATTGGGGCGATTTCTGACCCTTGCTGCATAATACTTCCTATTACAAACCAGAATGCGTTCTTAAAGGTGAATTGATTTTCAAGCTCTTCTGCTTCTTCAATGCAAGGATAAGGATTGTTCCATTCTGCAGGGCATAGCCTGCCAATTATAAAAAGGAGCAAAGATACTATGACACATGCGCCGATTAAGTAAGACCAAACATCGTTCGAAAATGGTGATAGAAATGAAAGCAAGCTGGGGGGAGCTTTGGTCGGTTTTCTATAAAGTATGCTTATACCTGTAAAATCATATGAAACTTGATACTTAAGTGATATACATTAGTTATTTTCTAAATTAATAATAAAATTAATAAATAGTAAAAAGATATGTATATATTTAAAACTTAATACAAAAATCTATAAGTAATATCAAATATCGTATACTACATTAGATTTATATTATACACATTACATTATATAAATTGTATGTAATTTACCTAAATTCATGAACGGGTTGGTAAAATCGACAGCTTCTTCGCGCTCTGCTGTAATTGTAAGATCTGCAATGGCAAGATCTGCTTCCTAAAAGAATATGATATTTTTCTTTCTTCCTTCGATATTTATAAATTTCATAATTTTAATCCTAATAATCTCATGATGAAAGACTACAAGTAACAGAGAGATCAACATCAGAGAGATATTTCAGTTTATATTCAACTAATATTAGCTAATACTAACATCATTTATAATTTTTCCAAGCATGCCTGACCACTTCCCGTTTTTTTTGGTACCAGTATTTGACTCTACTTGCAACGTATAGTTAAAACCCAGGATTTGGCTGATACGATCTATTATGTCAATTCCAAAACCCTCGTATCGTTCATTCCCACTCAGAGTTGTCGATGATTGCGTCTCCATTCCGTAGGGTGCTGTTAAAGCTATGAGGACTATAAATGTTTTGTTTTGCAAACTTAGCTCAACATCTGTCCTTTTTGTGTTAATTTCTGGTATCCAATTAATATTATTTCCTGCTGTACTGTTCCATACACCTATTTTTGTCAAGCCATTTTCGGTCAGACGTACAACATCTAATTGTATATTACTCCGGACGCCATCTTTGTCAAATTTTACAAGTCCAGTTAATCCTCGTATTTCACTCTGAAAGTAAAATAATGTAATAAGATTTGTTTGTAACGTGACTAGAAATAAAATCTTGTATGTCGTTGTTCAAAATACTTGATCTAAAAAGCTTATTTTTTTAAATCTTACCGATCGCATAAAGTTGATCAAGCTTAATCCGTGTTCCCATCTAACAGTATCATTGTAAAAATTACCATCGCATGGCAATGTTTTAACATCACCTTTGACGGCATCTTTTAATTGCTTGAAAGCTGTTGCAAATAGTTGTACCGCGTCATACATAAGTGCGGGTTCAGTTTGTAGCTCCCAGGGATCATCTAAGCCCCATTCGTTCTTGTATTCGTCTAAAGTTTGTTGAACTATCGGATCTTCAGGGTCAATCAGGCGCAAGCCGGTAAAGTTGACGCCAGAATACTGATATGGTTCTAAATCCAAGGTTTGCAGATCCTGCCATGCATACATATTCGTTGGTATATGTCATCTTAACTTAATTAAAGCTTTCAGATGGAACATCGTGCGAAATAAATTGTATGCAAAGGAAATTGTACTTATATAACTTACATTAAAATCCTGCTTTTAATGTAATATTAATGAATAAATAATTCATTTTTCGAAATTTCTACGTGCGTATTTATAATCTAAATTTTGCACTTTTATATACAATTATTGTTTTACGTAATTATTTTTTAGGTTCTTATTAAAATACTAACAAACACTGAATTATACACATTTCGATATACATGTGTATTTCGATAGGAAGATTTCTATTAAAAGTAAAGTTTATGCGATATGTTTTAAATATTTTATCGATATATTTTTAATTATTTAAGGATTCTCTCCATAAAACAATTTTGACATAATATCAAAATAGTGTAATTTTTTCAGTTTGTAAAAAACAACGTATATGTCTTACCAAAGATGTGACGATCACTTTATACTTTTCAGATAAGATGCCAACTTGTTGAGCCTGCTTAAGAACTTCACTGAGTATCTTATACGAACAATCGATGATAATGTTTTCTATACCTGATGCTTTGATTTCTTGCATCGCTTCCCTACACAGAATTTGATGCCAAATTATACAATTAATCAATGTCTTTCGAATTTTTCTCAATTAATTAAACTTGCTGATCTTTTATTTCCATTTTACTTGTAACATAATCATTATTTATAATGATTTTAAATTGCAAATTATATATATCTAATTGTCTTATTTGATTGAAAAAATATTTAAAAATTACTTTGGTAGTGAAAAATTATAATTTATTATTAAACATATTGTTATTAAATATTGTTGTGCCTCAAAGGTAATCTTCATCTTATTTATTAATTTCACAATTATTTCAAATTGATTAAACAGAACAATATAAATATTCTAACGAGAATAACACAGAAACGCAACAATACATTTTAACGACAATTTTGAAATTACTCATGATATGCTCATAATAATTAAAATATTAGACGAGATAATAATAAACAAATAATTAGCGTATCATAAAAAATGATGACAGAAATGTCATCAATTATTGATGTGACGTTGACAAATATATATATCTTTTATGAATATATAGAAATAGAGAAGGGTGACAATCAATCAATTCTGATTCTCTGAACAATTTTCGTATGATTGAGGGACTAAAAGATTCCTTCGAGACACTTCTGTATTCTATACCTATAATTCGGTCCGCAACCCAAGTGGTACATAAATGCAGAATTGCCGTGAGGGTCCCATCGTTTCATCAAAAGATGCATACGAATGAGACTATCGGTATTCTCGTAGAGTATTGCAAAAGATTTCCATTTGAATTCCGTGACCAGTTGATCATATATCTGTGAAAATTTCACGGATGATAAGTTATGTTACAATTATATACGTTATAAATATAAAAATAAAATTAAAATTTCAAGAAAGATTAAATAAAAAGAAATGAAAGACAAGACGACAAGATAAATATTTTGTAATGATTGCAATTGATTTATTCTTTAGCCTTAATTTTTTGCGTTATTGATGCATAGACAGAAATTATATATTTTATTTATATAGATAAATCATTAATGATTTTGTTTTACGATTCTACATTTATTATACATAGCTCACATATAATATTATTCATGCTATTTATATAAATTTGCGATTATAATATCTCTTTCCAACTTCATTTACTTACGCGTGATAAGGAGCTCACGTGCGGATAGAAATTCAGACTTAATCCACGGTGCTGAGGTGATTCACTAGAATCCTGTCGCACGGAAATGTGCGGCATATCTATTGTATCGCATATACTTTGAATGTATTCTGTGGCCATTTTTTCCTGAGGTCCGAAGATCCCAACTATTTTGTAGCTACTTACCATCGTGCATACTAAATATTTCGAAAAAAAAATCAGTATTGAATACACGTGAAAATATAACAACAAATCGCGGTATCTCGGAAAAGTAATGCAGTCTGACATTTCTCTCTCTATTTAAGAATTCACATAAAGAAGATACATATTATTTTACGGCAATATGTTACACTCACATTATTGTATTTAAGCATCTAAAAAGATTACATTAATGTCATAACATTACTGTGTGTTCATGTTTCTACTTCATTAAAGAAGATAAATGTGATTACCTTGTTACGTAATGCGTTTTAATATCGTAAAATAGTACATAGACGTAAAATAATACAAAATGGGAGTCTCAAATATAATTTAGCGTCAAATCTTGCAGTGTCACTTTGTCAGGTACAATGCAATGCATTACCTGTCTTTGATATCTCGAATAGCTCTGTTGCAGCCTCTCCTGTTTCCACTTCCAAAGACACATTTGATAGATGACATTCCTCGTTTCCACACCTTTGCTCGTTAATTGCTTGCACTGATAATTTGAACATCCGCATGACATATGAAACTTCCGTTTCATTTTCGTCGAACAATGCTATAATATAATTCTTTTTAAAATCAAGACGCGTTACATGACCGAAATAGCTCACAAAGTTCTTTCATAAAGTACTAGTGCGTATATACGTAAACTTGATTGCGTTTTTTTACATAATATTTCTTTTTTTAATATTTAAATATATTAACAACAGGTTAATATTATTTACACAATAATGTTGCTTAAAAATTCAACAAAAAATCTTAAAAATCTTAAAAAAAAGAAATTGAAAAATATATCTGTTATAAATAAATTTAATAAATATCGTAAAATAAAACTACTTGAAAGAGAGATAATTTATGTCGCTAAATATTTGTCTACATCTCATCAAAATATTTCAAAATTCATAAAGAAAAATGAATACAAAAATAATGTTTTCGATGTTTCATATATTTTATTCATATTTTTCTTTCAAGTCAGTAAACGTTTATCTTACCTACGTAGACCTGTTTCGGAAAAGCTAACACACATATGCAGGACAGAAATATCGGCAATAATATCAGCAGACTTTTGGTCACCATCTTACGATCATTCTGCGCACACACAAATAAATTGAAATAAAATTAAAATGTATGCGCTGATATGGATGTGCATTTAATACAATCGAAAAGAAGGAGAGAAAGAAGAGATGTAAATGGTATGTATACGATGCACATGACCAAACGGAAAGATCTTGAACGAGCACTTAACCAGTCGACGTTATATAAACTAGCCAGAAGGCATCGCGCCGCCTGCAAGTCGCTCTCTCGGCGCGCATAAATATTTAGATCTGTCTAAAATCAATCTTCCAATATTGAGTTTAGTTATTTGCTTGTGTGCTCTTAATAAATCCGTTTGTCGCGATCCCTCTCACAAACTGTAGCATCTCCTCTCTTTCTCTCTCTCTTTCCTTTCTTTTTCTTTTTCTCTGGTGATTTTTATATTAAAATGTTATATGTTTATATGAACATGATAGATTCTAAGTTGTGCATTAATACTAATATGGCAATTTATTACATAGTCTGAAAATTGTATATTTTTTCTATCTACAAATTTTAGACAAATTAAAAAATTTTAATTGGCAGTTATTAATAGGATTAGATATTTTTATAATTAAACTAAATTTAATTTAATATTGAATTTTTCTATATTAGAATAAAAATATAAAATAGTAAAATAATGTAGAAATAATAAAATTAGGTGAAAAATAAGTTTATTTAATTTACCAAAACTCTTTGTGATTCTACTTATTTTAATTGGCTTGACAAAATTACATTTTCGCATTCCTGTTAAAAAAAAAATTAAATAAAAGTGTGTTTGTAAGAAAACTTACTAAAGAAAAATTACTAAGTTTTGAATTATATAATGAATATGTAAGTTACTTGATAAATACTTTCATGGATTCTCGCTCGATATAATTAATTTCTCAAAGCTATATAAATATTTGTTCGACATTCCTGGATATCTTTTATTCCCCGGAGACGGCCAACGTCTGTCTCGAGAGTACGAGCTTTTAGCAATATCTCACACGCATTCAGAGTTCCACGTAACCTACTGTCATCGTGCCAAATGCACGCAGTCTGGCGCGTTCTTTTTCATTCATTCATCGTGGAGCACGCATTCACGTCATTTATCGCAGCCGTTTTAGATACTTTACAAAGTGTCGGTTTATTCGGCTACATTACACGGAATAAATCATGAATTGCAGAGAATTGCTGATCGGGAGATCTTTGGTCCAGCACGCGTCAACACGACATGGAAAACTAACGAAAATCTTAAGAGAGCGTATAACGATGTCGATATATTTAGACATCGAGCATCGCCACCGCTGGTGCTTGTCGTGTTCGTCGTGTGACATAGATTTCGACGGAATACAATTGGAGGTACTTTTTTTTAAATAGAAACTTAATGGTATACATTTTTACTTAAATCAGCATCCAATTGTCTCGTCTCTTTTTTATTCTTTATTTTATTTATATATTAATATATTTAAATTATTTATATTTATTATTTATTTATATATTAAAATATTTAAATTATATTTATATATAATGTAATGATGATATTAAGAGAAACTTTAATTGTTTTATCAAACGCATAATGATACACGTATTTGAAAATTTGAGAAAAACAATTTTTTTTCAATAAATCAATTAAAAAAATTTTTTTCCAAATTCATTTTACGTTAGTCGTTCAAGGATTAATCAGCCGGCTGAAAATTTTCAAAGTGGATGATTTTTTTCGCCAAAAGCGAGAGGATGAAAGCATTAGTTTTACTCTAATAGAAGCATGTGTCACGATTCAAGCGATAAACAGCGAAGAACATTACTTCTCTAAAGAGGATCATCTTTAAGGATTCGCAAGAGCTTACCTAAAGAATGCGATGCTGCGACTCGTTTTACCTGGCACAGAACTTTTGACGCGTGCTTTGCCGAACGAGCTTTGCGCGACACGCGACTCTAAATCCGAACGCCACTTCTCGCGCGTCTCATCTCGGCAGCGCATGCTCTACTCCCTTCCCAAGTTTTCACGATCCATCCATGACAAACGGTTGTAGTGCGACGTGCATACTTAGACAGACGGCAGAAATTAATATACAAAATTACGTAGAAGTCTAAAAAAAATGTTTATATTTCACAAAATTTTCTTCTATCGCTCTAGGTAAGCAATATATTTTCTCGTCGAAATCATACTGTCAAAATTTATCTCTGTAATAATTCATTATGTGAGTATAATATATAATCAACGTTATAAGAATATAATCTCGGAACTTATAAAAGCATGCCATGCGCCTAAAGGCTGCTGTTCGCTTATACAAGGCTGCTGCGCTTGTACAGCTAATATTCTGTATGATAAGAAATTTTTGAAACTCAAGCTTTTTAAAATTTTTATATATTTATCTATTTTTATATATTTATTTATATATTTTATATATTTATAAAATGATTATTGCCGTAAGAATTGCATTTAAAAGTGTTTATAACGATTTCTAAACCGTAGCAAGTATGTTGCGCTTATATATAAATTCGATTATATAGATTTAATTACGTTGATATTCTAGTAGGGCGTGGTTGGGCAAATATAGTGACTAAGGTGTTAGAGAAATTAATAAGGTGTTAGAGAAATTAATAAGGTGTTAGAGAAATTAATTGCGTGGATAAAATACAAGACCGAGTAAGATTATAATTACAATCAAAAGTTTAATTACAATATGTGAAATTGAAATTTATTATTAGAATGTATATTCGATATATATAACTTGTAACTAGAAAAATTATTTTGATGTCCTGTTAATTCTTTGATTTGACTTTATCAATTCTAGCTTCATTTCCATTTAATTTTTAGATTTTAATTTTACCATTATTGATTATTTTATTAATGACTTTTGCTTTATTTACTTTCTACTTGATTATCGAGAGACTGCGAAAAACCAGAGAGTTTATATGTATTTTTTTCCGAATAAAATATATTAAATATAAATATATCTTTTCTCTATGTCATTTTATATCATATTTATATATTGTCAATAAAAGAAGTGTGCGAATATTTCAATATTTTAAATGAACATTTTGCAAAACTGATTCAATTTTTAAAATTTGTTTAGTTTTTATTGTGCTATCACTTAGAATTACAATTTATATATAAAACCAATAGAGAGAGAGAGAGAGAATTGATGAATAATAAATAAATAAATTCAAAATTAATGGCACGATTATAATGATAATCAATGATCACCGATGACTCGGGGAAACGGACGTCACAAAGGCACAATTACAACAGAGGATATTTGGATGAGAATTTACAGACGATTAATTTATTCACGTTTAATATGATGCTTGTAGTACATTTTATATAAGAAGAATCGATAGGCTCTTAACAAACTCGTATGTCGCGACGTGTAAACGCAAGTATATAACAAGTTTTATATCGATATTTACAGTGGACATCGTATCGGTGTCTGTGTGCGAGCGCGCGTGCGTATATATATATATGTATATGTTATGCATGTATTGCATGTCGCGTATGCACGTTTCTGGTCGCATTCAGAACTCGGTAAATCGTATCAAGAGTAACGAAATCCATGGAATGTGCAAGGAAATAAAAGGAAATAAAATAATGAATTACACTCATCTTCGCTTTTTCACGTTCTGCCTTCAAATAATGTCCGCAGAAGCTATTGGAGTATCACACATTCTTTAACGCAGTATAATCGTGCACTCATATTCTGATTTACGCATTCTTTTCCGAGAGTTTCGGTTTAAACGTTAGATTAGAATCGGTATTCGGATCTTCTTTTTTACATTTTTTTAAAAATATGGATAGAAGGAAGACTCAAAATGAATACTGCTTGGTTCACAAGGTCCGCATAAACGCGATTAAATGAAAAATCGAATGAACAAGAATTAGCAATAATAATGGCACGTATTCTTTGAAAATAATCTGAGCATTGTTAGCATTTTTTTTTTGCATTCGACGGAATGTTGTCAACGCGAGAAATGTATTATCCAAGTAGTCTGAATAATTAGAGTAGTTTTTTGCGTCATTAGTTCTAATTTGCTCAAGTAATATTTCATTGATCTTATGGACCCCGTCAGACCAGCTAAGAATAGGAATCAATTGAGAAGGTACGTTCAAATATATCAACAATCGCGAATATACAAAATAATCGGATCGCGATAAAATTGTGCAAATGACCATTCGCGCGATCTCATTATTCGTCGCATATTAAAGATAATTTATACGTTATTTATACACGAGTGGAATTCGTTCGATCGTCACGTAGAGAATTTATATGCGCGAATTTTATCATATTTGAAGGATTTCACGGACGCCGGTAACCGCATACTCAGATTGATTTCAGAATACTTTATGAGATAACGACATTACATCTTTAACGTCAATGAAAGGCCACCTAATTCCATGCGACTCTTGTTCACTCGCTTGTTTTTTCGCACGCACCCTCCTCGTATCGCATTTAACAAGTAGAGACCCTATGAAGGACTAGATGGTGGACTATCTTATTCGATAGTGGATCGTAAAAAAGGGACAGACAGACGTGTACATACAGTAGAGGTAAGTCTTTACACAGCAACCCAAATCGCATTGCAAATTCTCGTCTCGTGAGAAATTTACAGGACCCTTGTTGTAGCTTGGCGCCTTTTTTTCTTCTTTCGAGGAATGCCGAATCATGTTTTTCATTTCAGAAAATTTCATTTCTCTGCAATAATAGTCTGACGCGATCGTCACATCTACATTTCTCGCAGATTTAAAATTTTGCAATTATAAATAATTTTAATTTTACAAGGATTTTGCCTTTCGATCAGATTTCACCTTAATATTAAGGATCAATTTATATATTTCCAATTGCATGTGAGCGAAGCAATTAACTTCGTAAAGAAATTCGGTCTTTCTTCGTTCGATCAGGCGTCCCTTTGTTCACGTCAAAGGCGCTTTTCCGATGAAGTGCCTGTACTTGTTGCACGACGCGTACCTGCCTTCCTCCGAGACGATCGACAGGCTCGAATGTTGCCTCTGACGTCGACAAAGTACCTTCCTCGACGGCTTTTTATTCCCGTTGCCGCAGTCCAAAGCGTATCGCAATTCGCTCGCCATTTCCGAGCACACAGACTTCTGAAAGTTTCACAGAAAGAATATTGCGACAGGCTCCCGTATTGGCTCCCAAACGAGTCGTTTAGCTTAAACTCACTACATTGAAATTTAAACTTTAAGGTCCGCTTTATTTGCAAAGTCTCAGTTAAAAGTTCCGTTAACGGAAGGTAATCTTTGTTTAAAATGTTCCAGCTGAGAAAGACTATAATATCATTTATAAGAGAATCTACAATAAATGGCGCAATTGAATACTGAAGGAAGAAAGGAAGGATTCCTCTTATTATTGAAATAATTTTGAACTAATGTCTTACGAAAGTCTAAGAAAAATAATGATCTTGTGCAAGCAATAAATTACAATAGGAAATATAATTATGCATGCAAGTTTGTAGAAAGCTTTTTTAAACTATTTTTAAGCTATTTTTACTTTTACGACATTGAATTTAAATTGTAAAATCTTCACAGCCTCAATGAATAACGTTCCTCGTAATAATATGAATAATTATAAATCTTTATAATAAAATATGAATATAAAAATTATTATATAGATATAAAATTTCCTTTCTATCTTAATGTACTCGTATTATGTTTCTAAATCATTAAAATATTTTAACGTTATTTCTTATACTTGTTAATGTTAAAAATAATAAATTATTTACAATTAAAATTAGATAGATGAATTTTTAGTTGAGTTCCTTGAGCTATGAAGATTCTATCTAACGATACTGTTAATGTAAATAAATTAGCTCACCTCCTATGAATCCGTGACGAGAGAGAAGCAAGAAACATTGCGACACAGCTAACAATGTCATACTAAATTGTCACACAACGCACGTCCTTTCAATTTTACTTATAGTTACAAGTAATGCAACATTTTGAAATTGCAATTTTTCGTAAAAGTTACTTCGCCATGACACAGAGATTCGTCTATTCAATAACGAAATTTCGGAGTCCGCATGCTTCTATACATGGATCGGAAGTCCTTTACATTATGGACAAAGATGCACGGTGGATAAAGACGAAATACATATAAATTAATATTATATAATTTAATACTGTAAAACGTTCTCAGATAGATTAATATTATTCATGCCACAATTTAATTAACGAAATATAAAAAAATATAGAATTGGTATATTTAATGAATTCGAAGTCAACGTTTTCTTAGTGAAGATTAAAATGGAAATATATTATTTACCATCGAAAATCAAAGAGTTCCATCTGAGTTTCAAGAACAACTTTCTTGAACTTTAAGAAAATCTCACTCTTCAATTAATTTCAAGCGAGATTTACTTACTTAGGAATACTTATTCTTGCTGATAATTTCAATTTTTCGTATCTTTGATGTAATGGAAAAAATAATGGATTGTTAATGCAGGAATAAAATTTAATTTTGATAAGATATATCTCCCTTGTATCCACACTTGCTCCTTCGATTATCGCGTATATCATTATCGCGAGGCGAACGGACTCCGCGCACACTTACGAACGCAATGATTAGCTCGATAGCTACATATTATGTACAATAAAACGTCTTGTAATCTGGTACACACTATACATTCACTCTATCTAGCCGGTATAAAATTGTGATTGTTCTTAAAAGTTTGTCCATTGCCGCAGCACTATAATTCGGTTGTAAATACCGCGGCTCTTTCCTTTTTTTCCTTTTTAAGTATTTTGATGTCGGTCGAGACATTTACAACTTCGCGAGGAAGGACATCTGGCCTTTCCTATTGCGAGACTTTAAAGTCTTTGTTAATCTAAGTTTTGATATGAGCAAATGGCAAACACGTTGACCTTTCCAATCTTTCTTTTATGCCATATTTCGGCTCGGATTCCATATATTACATGTCGCAATAATCGTACATTTTTCTACTGAAAAGTCGTTCTTAATCGAACTTTAATAATATATTCACCGTAAGAAATTTGATATTGTATCGTGAAATTCTAGCAAAATCGAGCGATCCGTTCGTCAGAATATTAAACATTTTGTTCTCCTTTGAGAATCGACATTCGAAGAGAAGTATTTATATATCTCGAACAAATTCGTCGAACCAGATAATTGATATTTGGTAGGATTTTGGGAGGAAAATTGGAAAGGTCAAGGCTCGTTGCTTCTCCTGTCCGATTATTTAGTTTGTTCCTATAATTTTACGATCTTTACACAGTTTTCCGATCACTCGTGATGGAGTTCTTCCTTAGGTCCACTGAACTCGGATCGGATACGCTTTGAGGTACGGCTTGAGTTTAAGAATCTGTTTTCGCAGCGCAGCGCGTACCGTCGCTAGTGCAGATCAGTAAAACCTTCGCAGATCGGTTTCCCCGAGGATTTCTGCTTCTAGAACAGAACACCAAAATGCCCGAGTCAGATTCGTTACATCAGTCATTGTTGCGATGGTCCAACAGCAAAGCAGGATAAAGTGCGCATCGATACAATCATCTTCGCTTATTTAAATAGCAGATAAAAATAATATGTACATGTCTACCATGCTTCCTCGTGTTGCTTTATCAAACAGATTTACATTCATAGAAGCATCATCTATTCATTATCATATTATTGTAATCATTATTTCACGATCAATTTTTCCAAATAGGAGCCAATCTCGGACAAAATAATAATTAATAAATTCATTTTAATTTTGTCTATTTTTTCGAATTATTGTGACACTGAATGTCGCGACTGCCATGGCATTTGCGGTCGACTGTGACTTGATTAGATCATATCAGATCAATCTTGCGCATCACGCAGCACGGAAATTCATACACGGAGAAATGTATGTCGTATACAGTCTATTCGAAATCTATGCTATTCATTACAGAACGAGAGCCTTGTCCCGTGATCGAGCGGATTTAAGTGGATTTGAATTTTTGGAGAATCTTGTCTCGCACGCTCTATTGCGTACCCTGAAGGGGGTTGAAAAGAGAATCGAGCAACGTTCGCCAGTTCATAAAGCTATTTGCTCTTAGGGTACATTCAGAATGATCCGCACAAAGCTGCATATTCGTATCCCTGGGCGAGCCCTCTTCAAATAGTTGTCTGTTTGCTCGCCCCTTGAATGTATGCAAACGGTGGTACAAATACATATCGCATACACTACACGCCAACCACCGCGAGCAACGCGAAGCTTTACATACGTTAATTCCATTTCTCCGCCTGCGTTCGAGCAAAACAAATCTCGTTCGAAATTTTTTCATTAAATTCTCGCTCGCTGCGTTTCTATAACTGACATGAGGCTTCCCGATAACCACGATGCTCTCATATGATAGCGGGCGCGGCTTTCTACTCGTTCGTAATAGTATATGTAAATTAAATTCACAATTAGAACATAATTGGATTAAAACATAATAGACATAATTGGAGTAATCATTTTTGAACATTAAAGTAGAAGAAAAGAAATGCATATAATTATATTAAAATATGAATTATCTAAAAGCCAAATTCAAAATTTATTAGAGTGCATTTTCAGGAAAAAAAATTTGACAATTATATAAAGATAAATTCCGTTTTTAAATTATTAATCGATTCGATGAAATAATTTCTTAATGATTATTTTTAATAATAAGAATAATCTTCTGATAAACAAGTCCTATGCAACAAACAGGGAGTGTATATAATTATATTAAAATATGAATTAAGCCTAATACTAAAAGCCAAATTGAAAATTTATTGAATATTAGAATGCATTTTGAGGAAAAAAAATTCGACAATTATATAAAGATAAATTCCGTTTTTAAATTATTAATCGATTCGACGAAATAATTTCTTAATGATTATTTTTAATAATAAGAATAATCTTCTGATGAACAAGTCCTATGCAACAAACAGGGAGTGTATATAATTATATTAAAATATGAATTAAGCCTAATACTAAAAGCCAAATTGAAAATTTATTGAATATTAGAATGCATTTTGAGGAAAAAAAATTCGACAATTATATAAAGATAAATTCCGTTTTTAAATTATTAATCGATTCGACGAAATAATTTCTTAATGATTATTTTTAATAATAAGAATAATCTTCTGATGAACAAGTCCTATGCAACAAACAGGGAGTGTATATAATTATATTAAAATATGAATTAAGCCTAATACTAAAAACCAAATTGAAAATTTATTGAATATTAGAATGCATTTTCAGGAAAAAAAATTTGACAATTATATAAAGATAAATTCCGTTTTTAAATTATTAATCGATTCGATGAAATAATTTCTTAATGATTATTTTTAATAATAAGAATAATCTTCTGATAAACAAGTCCTATGCAACAAACAGGGAGTGTATATAATTATATTAAAATATGAATTAAGCCTAATACTAAAAGCCAAATTGAAAATTTATTGAATATTAGAATGCATTTTGAGGAAAAAAAATTCGACAATTATATAAAGATAAATTCCGTTTTTAAATTATTAATCGATTCGACGAAATAATTTCTTAATGATTATTTTTAATAATAAGAATAATCTTCTGATGAACAAGTCCTATGCAACAAACAGGGAGTGTATATAATTATATTAAAATATGAATTAAGCCTAATACTAAAAGCCAAATTGAAAATTTATTGAATATTAGAATGCATTTTGAGGAAAAAAAATTCGACAATTATATAAAGATAAATTCCGTTTTTAAATTATTAATCGATTCGACGAAATAATTTCTTAATGATTATTTTTAATAATAAGAATAATCTTCTGATGAACAAGTCCTATGCAACAAACAGGGAGTGTATATAATTATATTAAAATATGAATTAAGCCTAATACTAAAAACCAAATTGAAAATTTATTGAATATTAGAATGCATTTTGAGGAAAAAAAATTCGACAATTATATAAAGATAAATTCCGTTTTTAAATTATTAATCGATTCGACGAAATAATTTCTTAATGATTATTTTTAATAATAAGAATAATCTTCTGATGAACAAGTCCTATGCAACAAACAGGGAGTGTATATAATTATATTAAAATATGAATTAAGCCTAATACTAAAAGCCAAATTGAAAATTTATTGAATATTAGAATGCATTTTGAGGAAAAAAAATTCGACAATTATATAAAGATAAATTCCGTTTTTAAATTATTAATCGATTCGACGAAATAATTTCTTAATGATTATTTTTAATAATAAGAATAATCTTCTGATGAACAAGTCCTATGCAACAAACAGGGAGTGTATATAATTATATTAAAATATGAATTAAGCCTAATACTAAAAGCCAAATTGAAAATTTATTGAATATTAGAATGCATTTTGAGGAAAAAAAATTCGACAATTATATAAAGATAAATTCCGTTTTTAAATTATTAATCGATTCGACGAAATAATTTCTTAATGATTATTTTTAATAATAAGAATAATCTTCTGATGAACAAGTCCTATGCAACAAACAGGGAGTGTATATAATTATATTAAAATATGAATTAAGCCTAATACTAAAAGCCAAATTGAAAATTTATTGAATATTAGAATGCATTTTGAGGAAAAAAAATTCGACAATTATATAAAGATAAATTCCGTTTTTAAATTATTAATCGATTCGACAAAATAATTTCCTAATGATTATTTTTAATAATAAGAATAATCTTCTGATGAACAAGTCCTATGCAACAAACAGGGAGTGTATATAATTATATTAAAATATGAATTAAGCCTAATACTAAAAGCCAAATTGAAAATTTATTGAATATTAGAATGCATTTTGAGGAAAAAAAATTCGACAATTATATAAAGATAAATTCCGTTTTTAAATTATTAATCGATTCGACGAAATAATTTCTTAATGATTATTTTTAATAATAAGAATAATCTTCTGATGAACAAGTCCTATGCAACAAATAGGGAGTGTATATAATTATATTAAAATATGAATTAAGCCTAATATTTAAAAAAAATTGAAAATTTATTGAATATTAGAATGCATTTTGAAGAAAAAAAATTCGACAATTATATAAAGATAAATTCCGTTTTTAAATTATTAATCGATTCGATGAAATAATTTCTTAATGATTATTTTTAATAATAAGAATAATCTTCTGATGAACAAGCCCTATGCAACAATCAGGGAGTGTTTTTCCCGGAACAAAAGTCCAGGCTTAAATTGCCTTGATTAATCACAACTCGCAAATACTCGAGACGTTTCTTCAGCGTAGATGCTTGCACTAGCGTATCTTGGATGGCGAGCAAGGACGGATATTGCTCGTTCGACTAACGACGATATTCGTGCGCAACGAGACAATAGGGATAATGACGAATGGGAGAGGATAACGATGCACGACGATGACGGAAAAACGAGAGAATAAAATTATACGCGCGCAGCGGGTTGTTTCGCGTAAGTTCTCGCCGATGGATGGCTATCGATCGACAGAAGAATACCGATCTCGTGCTGCGCGAGCGATCAGACCCGAGTAGTTCTGTACCGAGACCATTACAGAGGAACTCCACCAGCATGCGAGCATCAACTGATGTACTCGCGCGGTATGTCTGGATAGATCGCGTCGGGATCGAGCCGCGTCGCGGTCATTGATCCTGACGTGGCGATTTCCGACGAGATTACTACACGGCCTTCCTCGACGTGCTATTTCGCGTCACTCACCCGCTCCTCGATGGCCACTTTCCGGCTCTTCCATACGAACTCGCAGACCGCGATCACGCAGGCGACACCCATGCCACCCATCAGCACCACGAAGACGCCACCGACGTTTGCCAAGCCGAGCTCGTTCGCCGCCGAGCTGCTTTTCGAGGTGTCGTCCTGCCGATGAGAAACATCGATTAGTCTGCGGTATATTAAAGGGGGGTATTATTAACGGGTCGAGTGTGGGCCCATTGTATAGGTAATGCATCGTCGGAGAAACGGTGGTTTTCGTGTTTAGTCTGCTGCGTGTCGTTAATGCACGCGGTCTTCACGCTCGAATGTTCATTATTGAAGCGATTCGCGTTGTCGATAATATCGTGAAAATTTCATCTCACTTGCTCGCATCTCTAAATTCAAACGAGAAGAGAGAGGAAATATATAGTCTATCGCGCGATTTTATTAAATGGTCTGTTTGATAATCTTCCTTCCATTTTTTGATTGACATATTTTACACGAAGAAAAAAGTATACAGTCTACATCCTAAATATATTAAAAATATCGTGTATTTATATTGCAACTTTTTAATTTAATTTAAAAATTTATATACGCATGACAGATATATTAGCACCTATATCAAATAAAAAAATGTATGTATTCAAAACAAAAATATTCTTTCTTCTATAGGGATGGAAAATTTTTCTAATGGATTTGTCAAAAAGAGAATATTTTATAGAAAAAAGGATAACGTCAAAAAAAATCCACTTGATGTTCTTAGATATAAAATAAATTAATATAAAAAAATAATAGCAATTAATATAATAAAAATTTTTATGCATTAAACACATAGTTTTTTTTTAATTTTGAGAAAATTAATAATTAAAGTAAATTTACTTCTCTACGTACAATGTGTATAAATATCGCACGTGTTATACTTTTAATATCTTACAGTTCCTGCAAGCTAAGCACAGGGCGTTAATTCCACTTTCATAACTATAATCATGTATCTGTGTTTGTGCGTCAAATGTCGGCAAGTTTGCCTGGAAGGAAGGAGGAGCCGAATTATCAGGAGAATTTATCGGCGTAGCTACGCGAGAGAAATAGCAGTGCGCGCAACGGTGATCGCATGCTCGGCGAAGCCTCGATTTCGCGAATTCGCGAAATAGTCTTCTTCGCGTGCCGTCTCAACCCCCAGTAACCTTTCCCTGACAGATGAGGGGAGTTACTGGAGTCTGACGCAAGAATTTCGAACGCTTCTTGACTGCACTAGCGCACCAGAAGATTTTGCGTGAAAAAAAATAAGGAAAGAGACACGAAAGTTAAAAACAAATTCGCACAATTTATTTCTTAACTGCCGTTTTTTTTTAAATAAAGTGCTTTCAAAAAATAGTTAATTGAAATAGACGCAAAGATTCTATATAAAATGCGTCGAATGATAATAAATTTCTGTGATGTAAATAGAGACCTGTTATTAAATTGTTTTTTAATTATAATAAATATACTGTATGCATCCAGTATATATAGATTATTTTGTCGAAATCACGATGAAGACTGTCGTTCCTCTTTTTATTACATTTTACATAGATTTTAGAATTTTTTCTTTTTCTAAATAATCTCTAGACTATTTTTTACAGTAAAAAACTTGAATTAGATTAACATTTTTTTTATTACAAATTTTTCATTTTTTATTATAAGACAGTTAAAAGTGAGTATATTTTCGCCTAATATGTATCCACTCACCCTGCAGGATCCGCCACCTCGCTTCTCCTTCCACCAGCGCGTTTTTAGCACGTGAAGCTTCCCTTCCTCCTGGAGCTTCAGGATGGCCCCGTTTATGGCTGTTCTGTATGGTGAGTCTGAAGTTCCAAGGTCGTTTTGAGGAACTTCCCCCCACTGCTTTTATCGTCTCGTAGCATCGTACTTTCGCGAAACTTTCGGAAGTACCGTTGCGCCAATCGTTCCCTCGCGCCAACGTTTTGCCTGCAATTCCGCGCGCGATCGCTTCCTTCATAGCGGCATTCTCTATCGACCGGTATTTTCGCGCAGTCGCGAGATCAGCAAGACGACCGGCGATACGATTTCATTCGATTTCTCGGGGGGGCGAGCATAAAGGATAAACTGACTAACGCGCGCTCGCGCGATCTCTCGATTCGCCGAGGGAACGATTCGCATTTTCTATCAGAATTTCATTTGCATGAGGGAGAAATTTTAATTAAGTGAGGATTTCTCTTTTACTCGCAGATAGACCAATGTAAGCACTTCAATGTGATATCGATCAACCACTTTTTTTTCTCTTCAAAACCATTATTCAAAACTATATCCGCTACTCTCTTTTAGGGATTGACATTATTGAGACATCGTAGTTTCAAAAATATTTAGTCGAATTATATTTCTTATACTAAATTATATTAAATCGCGATTTTATAGATTTCTGTAGGAAAATATTCGTAAAAAAATGCAAGCCAATACGAGTTATAAAATATTCGTAAAAAAATGCAAGCCAATACGAGTCATAAAATAATATGATGAAAAATTATAATACATATTTAAGTGCCAAGTAAACTGATATTTAATACATATTTTAATGAGGAACATATTAATAAATTATTATATTAATGTGATAAAAATGATAACAATTTTTCGTTTATAAAACTTAATGCTTTACTTGAGTCATAAAATGTGATTTATATTTTGATTGCAGAAATAATTATCAGAACATATTTGAGTTTATCAGATGCATGAATTGTCAAAATATAATTTAAAAAAATTAATCAGCACCTTTTGTATTTAATAGAAGAAAATTTTATAATTTTCATGAGACGTATCATAATATCTGGATTACACGTGATTAATAGGAATGATGATTAATATATCTTTGCAGTTGAAGTGTTAAGTTTTTCGTCTGAGCAATTATTCGACAATATCGACAAATTGATGAATCAAAATATTTATTAAATAAGCATGAGAAATAATTAATAAAGAAATATTTTTCTCCTTTATTTTAAATCTGTTTTAATCTAAGAGATAGAAGTAAAATAAATTCATAAGTTATTAATGATGTCAAAATTATATTAAAAATTATATTATATTAAACTAATCTAAATTTCATGAAGCTTTTTTTCCTGCGTATTTTTATGATTTCCATCAAAGAGCACGCTCAAGTCTTATATGAATTTACTGCACATCTTCACATATACATGTACATGGTGTTTCTATTAGCACTTACTTGGTGGCATGGCTATGCCGTATCCTTTTGAGTCTAAGAGACCACCGACTTGAGTGAGGTCGCAGGTTCTCTCGATTACGTATTCGATGGAGGTGGATTCCATCAGGAATGCGTAACTGCCTTTCCCCTTGATCACTCGATCCACACCCTCAACGTTGCTCGACGTAAATACCGTCGGCTTCGCCGAGTCCATGAAGGACCACATGCGTTGGTACGTCGAGAAATTGGAATCCTAGATCACGCCGAGAATTTCGTGGTTGAGTATGCGTGCCGTTAAACGATGGAACGTCGGAGTGGAAATCGGTTAACCCCGAAGTAGGCATGCCTTACTTCGGCATAGATATTGGCGCATCTCTCGTAACTAATTGTACGCATCGCGTGCGCTTTCTCAAATTAATAGAGGAATATTCTCGGTCGCAGCCTGCGGTTTCGCTGTTGGCTTGATTGGAGATTCTTAGTCCGTTACAGCAAATTCAACTCAACAGCGAGATTTCAGATAACAATACGCTAATCTGCCCCTATTCTCCAATAGCTCGCAATTTCTTTTGTAACTATTTTATCACTTTATTGTACAATATTCGATTTATATGTGTAGCGTATTTAAGGATGTTTCGTATGTACTGAAAATCAATACTAGACGAATATCCACTTTTGGTGTATTTTGAGTATGAGAAATTGCGTGGAATATTACAATTTGATCTTACAATTAGCTACAGTGCAGAGATGTATTTTTTTAATATTTATTGCGTTTTTACTGAAATATTCCGAATTTTGTGAATCGAAATGATTAACTTTTGGCAGAGAATTTCGCCCTTATGACAGATACATGGCTAACTTGATTAAATTATATTTAATATCTTTTTAACCAATTAGTACTTGTATAATATTATTTGACTAAATATTTCTTCTATATCTAATTTTTTGCAAATTTTAAACAAATTCTGAATATTATTTCCATGTGTTTGTGTCATTTGAATCGATGTGGTTATACGTTTCCCATAAGAACACATGTTAATTCGGTGCAAATTAAAATCCTTATAACTTGTGAACTTTAGTGATTCGATTTAAAAATTGTACTGAAGATTCTAAACATATGTAAGGGCATTCTGTACAATTTTAAATTCTCAATATTTTGAAAATAGGTACAAAACATCCTTAATCGAAATGATTAACTTTTGGCAGAGAATTTTGCCTTGTGACAGATACATAGCTAACTTCCTTAAATATTTATATTTAATATTATATTTACATTTATATATTATATTTAATATCTTTTTAACCAGTTAGTACTTGTATAATATTATTTGACCAAATATTTCCTCTGTATCTAAACTTTTGCAAATTTTAAACAAATTCTGAATATTATTTCCATGTGTTTTTGTCATTTGAATCGACGTGGTTATACAAAACATCCCTAATCGAAATGATTAAGTTTTGCAGAGAATTTCGCCTTGTGACAGATACATGGCTAACTTTTAAATTTATTATTATTTGACCAAATATTTTCTCTGTATCTAAACTTTTGCAAATTTTAAATAAATTCTGAATATTATTTCCATGTGTTTTTGTCATTTGAATCGACGTGGTTATACATTTCCCATAAGAATCACATGTTAATTCGGTGCAAATTAAAATCCTTATAACTTGTGAACGCTTTAGTGAATCGATTGAAAAATTGTACCGAAGATTCTAAACATATGTAAGGACATTCTGTACAATTTTCATTAAATTCTCAATATTTTGAAAATAGGTACAAAACATCCTTAATGTTGCACATTTGTAAATAAATTCTAAATATTATTCTATATAATCGCGCCGTGAATATTGCAGTCTACATTTTAGAAATAATGCACATAAATATATGATATAAAATTATGCGTAAGCTCACCCTGAAGAAGGCTGCCGTGCTGCCGCCTTTGAGAGCGCCGTACTTGATCTTTGTCTGCTTAGCGAGATCCTCGGCGCTCTCGATTGGAGAATCCATCCTCTCAACGGTGAGGAAAGCCGCGAGATTAGCCGTATAAGAGGAGATCATGATCAACGTGAAGAACCACCACATGCCTGCGACCATGCGAGTTGACACGGCCCTGCGATAAAAGATCAAAGAGTGCATATCCATTTCCCTTCAGCTTTCAAGCGCTTTCGAATCAAAAGCTCGTTGTCCGAAATTGCGCGCAAAATAGCCCGTACAAACGTCTCGTTTGTAGAACCGCGTATTCGATAAAGCGGAGGGCGTGTCGTGAAAATACGGAGTCGCGGAAAAAGGAATCAATGGCACCTGCCGTTCGCCAAAGTTTTCGAGAGTAACTTCGCGCCTTCCACGAGGTAATGGACCGTGCGGAGGTTCAACTTCGTTTTATGTAACGAGCTAGCTGTATACGTCGCGCGGGTGTAATCCGTTGTGCAGTTAAGCGATTCGCGTTTGCCATTAAATGGCAAATGCGGGAGTTGGCAAACGCATACGTGTATGGATATGTGTATGCACGGAACGTATGCGGGCGAATTATTTTACACATTGACAATTGGTGCGTGTACATAAACGCAATTATGTCATGTATAACGAATACGTGCAATTATTGGAAACTACTAACGTTACTGGGTGACGGCATTCCAAGCTGGTAGCGCATGCTGGGCGATTTCATGCACTTCGACGTCCAGAGGCAGACGGAGCATTCCTCCGATTCATTTCGTTCACCGGAAATTTATAGCGCGGAGAGATGCTTTTTTTAAGAGAATTTTAAGATCGTAATTTGGAGATCATATTTTACTTTCTTCTTAATTTCGAATATTAAACATCTCGCTAATTCAGTATCATGTTAATTCTTTATCGAAGGGAAGGTGCTTGCTTGAAATTAATTAGAGAGTAAAGTTTTGTTACTTCGTTACATCACTGCAACGCTTAATTTGCCATAACCTTTTAATTAAATAGCTCCGTAATTAAGCCATCGATTAAATTTTCATTAGAGGCGGGAGTCGACAAAAGCCGTTAAGGAATACATTCCTGCTACTAATTCCCACATTTTCCGGCATACTTGGCATACAATCGGCTGCAGCAAGCCTACGATATAGCACGGTTCGAGCGATTTTTCTAACTATCCGCGTAATCTAACGCAACGCGTCTTACGTTCGTTGTTACGATTGCTGTTGTTGATTTTACGCAATCTGGCCGACAGGGATACCAAGACGGATCCTACATTATCGTACTTGACTTTTATATATACTGCTTGCTTCGATAACTTACTTCGGAGCTATATCGGAGCCTTGCTGCATGAGCGAGCCTATGGTGAACCAGAGCGAGTTCAGTAGGGTGAACTCGTTCTCGAGGACCTCCGACTGCCCGTTGCACGGATGGGAGTTCTCCCACTCGTAAGGGCTGAACCTGCGGACAGGTGAAAGGGGAAGGTCTCAGATTAGATGTCAAAACGTGCATCTCTGTCTACGTATTATCGTTGTCATCCTGAAATGGCGCGATAAATCCATGGAATTATTGTGCCTCGCGCCCAAATCAGCCAATTGAGATTATATTATTTGCTAAGTCAAGTAGTACACCGTATGATTTTTCCATGAGAAATGCGCAACACGCGTGAATAAATATATGAAATATATAAATTATGTATGAAAATATAATAATATGTAAGAAACAATACATGTATAATTCATATTATTTATAAAATAATAATAATATCATGAAGAATTATTCTGTGGCACTTTCATTTTTTTGCTCGATAAGAGAAAATTTAATTTTTTTCCATGACAGAAAATCACTGTTTTATTTCCTCGGTCTCAATCTTATCACTTGACTATGCATGAAACTGTTTAATTAATAAGAATTAATTAATTGTATCAGGTAATACGTATATGTTAATTAAAGAAACAATGTTCTTCTTTGATTTTCAGTTAAAAATGCGTACAACATTTTACATAAATAATATTTTATTTTGTTTCTGGATTCCTCCCTTCTTTGAGTACAAGTAAAGTTACTCAATTTTAGCATCCCACTTCATTTTCATTTAGCGATTGATCAAGTTATCTGTATTTCTTAGCGGCCAATCGCTCCTATAATTTACGGACGACAAAAGCAATGATGATTAAATTTTACTGAGGGATAATCAGCAGTGTAACATGCAACGAATGCGACGAGCACATCTGTTGATACTTTGCGCGCATGAAGATTATTATCTTGATGCGTGAAAGAAAGCTTACTTGGGCAGAATGTCACAACCCTGCCGCATTAGGGAGCCAATGGTGAACCACAAGCAGTTAAGGAGCTTGAAGCGATTCTCCAGGCGATCCGGATTTTTGTTGCACGGATGCGGGTTGTACCATTCGTACGGCGTGAATCTAAACTCAATTATTCCAAAAACGCTCTGATCCAATGATATCCAAGCACGTTTGTTGTTAAAACTCTATTTTAAAAATTTGATTCGTCCCAAGATTCGTCCATTTTATGGTAAATTCATCTTGATACATATGATGGATATCGTGATCATTCTTGAAGAGACATTTGTTCAGCTCATACGTAATTTGTATAAATAGCTAGTACCATGTATGAGAAACGATAGAAAGAATTATGTTGTATATTGCTAATTTCAATTTAAAAGACAGTAAAGTTTCTAATTTATTTATATTTATAAAAGCTATAAGAGAAACGATATTAATATCGATATAAGTCAATTCAATCTTTAAGGATGTTTTGTGTGTACAATCTCAGTAAAAAGTAGCTGAAAGTCAATATTGACGAATATATCCACTTTTGGTGTATTTTGAGTGATGAGAAATTGTGTGGAATATTGCAATTTGATCTTAGCTACAGTGCAGAGATGTATTTTTTAATGTTTATTGCGTTTTTACTGAAATATTCCGAATTTTGTTAATCGAAATGATTAACTTTTGGCAGAGAATTTTGCCTTGTGACAGATACATGGCTAACTTCATTGGATTATATTTAATTAATTATATTCAATTAATTATATTTAATAATTAATTCGGTAAAAATTAAAATCCTTATAACTCGTGAACGCTTTAGTGAATCGATTTGAAAATTGAACTGAAGATTCTAAACATATGTAAGGACATTCTGTACAATTTTCATTAAATTCTCAATATTTTGAAAATAGGTACAAAACATTCTTAATTAATATTAAATTAATACAAAATATATAATGCATTAAGATTATAAAATTACGATATCTCTCCCAAATTGTTTATAAGTTTCTTTATAATGCAAGAAAGAAAATGTCTAGTAAAGCTTCATTTTTGACAATAGGCATTTTGTTTATCACGTGAACGATTCGTCTAACAGAATCATCGAGGAGTAACTTGTGCAAATTTCAGCTTCATATCGATTTAAAAATTGTACTGAAAATTCTAAACACATGTAAGGACATTCTGTACAATTTTTCCTAAATTCTCAATATTTTGAAAATAGGTGCAAAACATCCTTAAAAATCATGAAAACATTTCCCTTCACACATTCCCTCGCACTTAATTTATCGTTGCAGCGTAGATAGTAAATGATGCACAAAGTTTACATCGATTAAATGGAGGGTCGAGTTTCCAAAATAGTATCACGACATTATGTCGGAGGAATTTAAAGTGGTTTCACTTGCCTGGCGAGTATAAAGAGGAGCACAGAGACCCCGAGATAAGCCGTCGCCATGTAGATCCAAACATCGAGGCTAAGAGGACTGAGGAACGAGAACAAATTCGGCGGTTGCTTTATGGGTTTGCGGTAAAGTATGCTGATCCCTGAAAATTCAAAATTCGCGTTTTATGCTTGGCCACGGCGCAGATTACAAGCAGAGAGGATGCATTGATGTGTAGACACAGTGGACCGTAGTGTAATTACTCGTGAGATTTATTCCGGTTTTCTTTACGGCCACACACGGCTTACGAGAGCACATAATGGTCCGCGAAATTGCGCTTGCAAAATTATTTCGGAGATACGCAAGGCAAAGACCATCATACGCGTCGTATCTTTGCTTTAGATCTTTATCATTTTTCATATTAATCATTCCTAATATTTTACATTACTTTTTTAAATGCAATAATCCATTTTCGATAATAATAATTTGCAGTAGATTGCACGCGTGTCTATCATTTCTATCATTTTTACTAGTATTGCGCTCAAGAAATTTACCGTTGCATAAAAATGGCATTAAAAAAATAATATCATCTCGCATAATATTCAACACTATAATTCACGCATGAGACGGCATATTTTTTGCGTATCTTATAACGCATTTATGGATGTCATGGAAATGCAGCGGCATTTACTGCACAATGCGATAGCGTTAACTCTTACCTAGAGGCATGAACGGCGTGGTAAAGTCGACAGCCTGTTCCCGATCGTACGTGATGGTGAGATCGGCGATCGCGAGATCGGCCTTTTGATCAAGCAGCTCCTTCATCATCCCATCCCACTCCTTCGTCTGCTTACTGTACGAGCCGTAATGTCCGTCCGGCACAAGCCGGAACGTATAATTGAATCCAAGCAGCCGCGATATCTCGTAAATCAAGTCGACGCTGTAGCCTTCGAATTGCGCATTTCCGGTGAGTTTCTCGCTCGAGTCCTTCCGCATGCAGTACGGCGCACTCTGCGAGATAATGAGCTGCCGTCAACAGTGTGTTGCGCATATGCATCTGAAAGGATGCTGCACGTTTACCGATACGAGCGGCCGAGTTTATCGACGATAACTCTTGACAGCGAAGCTCTCGAGCCCGCGAGTGGAGTTATAATATCTGCAGAAATAATCTCGACGACGCTCATATATGAATATCAAGATTGAATATATTGCATATAGACTGTACATTGTTCACGATAGCCTCTCTGTGTATTAAAGTTTCTTATAATACTGGGATGAATCGAATCTAGATAATATGTAGGGTCCGTAGAAAATAAATGTTTCTTGAAAGGTATACAGTTTGTTTTAATATAAATTACATGTTATTTATATTCAAATGAAAATTATTAATTTCTTTATTTTTTGATGAAAAGTACGAGAAATTTTATAAAATTCATATCATACTTAGAGAATGTCTTGTCTTGATGAGAATTTTTAAATTAAAGTTTTTCATATTAAAAATTAAAGAATTTTATTAAAAACATTTTTCCAATAATACATCAAGAGCTATTTAATATTAGTTGACTATAAGTGCATTTTATTTACAAATCTGAATTTTGAAACATGAACGCTAAAATATTTAATATTCAAAATCGGAAAAGTTTGCAAAAAAGAAATACAATTTTATTGTCTTCGAATCATTAATATGCTTAAAACTAAAATTTTTTTGATCATTTTAAATTCTTGCACTATAGCTATGCAATGAAATTTTATATTTATTTCTAAATTTCTCTTATTTTAATTTTCTAATTTCTTATTTTCAATAGAAACGTAATAATTAATGATATATAGTTAATCAATTTGCACTGCATTAGAAAATTCTCTCCTAATATTTGATACAAATCTCGGGGAATATTTTGTGATTCATATTTGTAGGACATGTTCTTATCAATGATTCGTTTAGCTGCGGATTTTGCTTCCTCATACATTGATTGAAGAAATAGCTCTTGATATATTAATTTGGAAAAATATTTTATTAAAAATGTTTTTCCAATAATATATCAAGAGTTATTTAATATTAGTTGACTATAAGTGCATTTTATTTACAAATCTGAATTTTGAAACATGAACGCTAAAATATTTAATATTCAAAATCGGAAAAGTTTGCAAAAAAGAAATACAATTTTATTGTCTTCGAATCATTAATATGCTTAAAACTAAAATTTTTTTGATCATTTTAAATTCTTGCACTATAGCTATGCAATGAAATTTTATATTTATTTCTAAATTTCTCTTATTTTAATTTTCTAATTTCTTATTTTCAGTAGAAACGTAATAATTAATGATATATAGTTAATTAATTTGCACTGAATTAGAAAATTCTCTCCTAATATCTAATACAAATCTCGGGGAATATTTTGATGATTCATATTTGTAGGACATGTTCTTGATCAATGATTCGTTTAGCTGCGGATTTTGCTCCCGATACATTGATTGAAGAAATGTCAAAGTTTTTTATGAGAATAACTCTCAGCTGCATCTTGTTTCTTATTGCGCGATTTTGCCATTGGAAACTCACCGTCGTCCCTTCCTCGACCGAGTTTCAAGGTACTTAATACATTACCGAGTACATTACTTGTCGCCGCAATTAGCGCAAGAATAAGTAATGCGAGTCGAGCGCGCTGTGAAAACTTCAATTAAGCCGCGCGTATCCGGCAACGGTGTTTCCATCCCTCTCATCTTCTTTCCTCCTCGCGAAAAAGAGGAAAGCGGGAAGCTAACGAGCGCGCAGAACGTTCTCTTCGCTAATGGACGGAAAAAAATTTTCCGTCCCGCTGTGACTGCCGCTTAAATCCGGCGACATTCCTGTTTTTCTCGCGCTTCGATTAAAGCAACCATTTTCGAGCTCGCCGCGCGATTGTCGCGAACGATTTTTGCAGATGTAAACAGACGCGACGTCTTCGATACCGGAATAAACTATTTGCTATTTTATCTCACTTTAATCTAATGTACCGTGCAAAGTAGTCTCTAAAATTTATGTGTCAGTAATTCCCCTTTTCCTAGAGGATTTCTTTAAGCTCCACATGTGCATATTGTTGCGAAATTAGCATAAACGCTCTCTATCTCGTTTAAAGTAGCGATAAAATAAGAGATTTTAGTAAGTCACGTAGAACTATTTTTAGAAATTTTATTGGGAGATTTTATATGTGTAGAAATGATCTTATACATGTTCAACTTTATTAAAATAAATTAAAATATTATACTTTATTACGAATTTTTCTAAACTATTAATTTTATAATTTTCTAAATATTTATAATTTTATAGTTATTATATTTTATTATATTTATTTTATTATATTTTATTATATTTATTTTATTTTATTATATTTATTATATTTATTATATTTATAATTTTATATTTATTATATTTTTATTATTTTTTATATTTTCTATATATTTATAATTTTCTAAATATTAATTTTATAATTTTTCTAAAATAAAAGATGTAAAAGAGATGCTATTTAAAATAATACTGCTGAATTTATTAAAGAAATAGACGTACGCTGTTTTATCTTATTCCATTTGAATGATACACAAACGTTGTATCTTATCTTATTCCATTTAAATAAGACAATTCTTTTTAAAATTCAGAAGACTGAATTTAAAATTCCCATTTTCAAAGATAAAAGTTTTGTTCGGTATATCATTCTGATGTTTGACTGCGATTCTGCCAAAGATATTTTGGAAACATTACTCACCAGTATGGTCGTCACGATAAAAGTCTTATTTTGCAAGTTTTCGACGATTTGAGTGTAAACGTCGCCGTAGCTCCTCGTGAAGTTGATACCTTTAGTACTATTCCAAGTACCGATTTTCTTCAAGCCCTCTTTACTATTCAATTCGATGATGTCCAGGACAAAATCAGAACGGAAACCCTGATGGTCGAACTTGATAATACCCGTGAGTCCTGTCATTTCCACCTGAAAAAATAGCAATTAATATATGTTAAAGAATAAATATTTTAAATTATATCTGTAAATATGCTAAATCTTGTTGTTGCTAATTATCATCGAATAATATTTGCAATCGGGAGATTACACATCAGAATTAATATCATATTTGGAAATATATGTACATTAAATTATTGACATCCCAGATTTAAGTATTGAAATATCTGGACACATTTAATACGCGAGCAAATTAACATATGGTTAATAACAGTTTCACATGTACATGTTCTACATGTTTTACGTGTATGTGCATATGATGTACAAATACGTACAAATGAATATATCATTCTCAAACATCATGCACAAATTTCGCTAAATGTAAACCTTTGATTTTGTATCTTATTGCTCTTGAAAGACAGGAAAAAATATAAATTTGTTTCATATAAATTTTATACACGATGTACATCATATTTAGTTGCCAATATAAACACTTGGTGTACCGTCATTTCTTAAACAGAGGAAATTTGAAAGCCACCAAGAGTCTCTCTCTCTCTTTATATACGTTCAAACTGAGGTACGAGGAGATTCGTGGTGCATTTATTACGCATACATAGGGTTTGTCAAAACATTTGCCGTTTGTAAAGTCGGTATAAAGCGAGCGCCTGGCAGCAGTGTGTCGGGTGTTATAGTTCACAATTACATTGAGACGCAGAAAACGCATTAATATGCGGCAACATTTTGAGACGGAAATTTCGTCGCGATATTCGTAAAGAGAAGCGATTCGCGAGTAATTACGCTCCGCATGATAACCGAACCTTCCTGTCTCCCTTTCCGCAAGTTACATTATATATATATATGTATATATTCGTAAAACGGTGTGGTATAATTACAGATGAAATTCTCGGTGACTGCTTGTAATTACTGGTTCATGAATATCGCGAAATTAAATTCAGTCTTGAGCACGAGATTAATACAGGCGTTAACGTTAGCTATTTACAACGTAATCTTCAAAAAAAGACCGTTTCAGTTAATGATCGTGACAGTTATTATTCGAACGCAACGTATCAATCTTCATGCAAACGAATATAGAACAATCTGTCTGCTTTAAGAAACTGTCGGGGACAACATAATGAGAATTGATAAGTCATATCGCTCATCGCGAAATCTTCATTTGAGGAAATGAATTAATCGCAGTCACACACGTGGCAATTTTAAAGCGTTTTTAGCTAGTCATTCTGTATAATCATTTCTACAATACATTATAATGGAAGTCTCTATTACAGTTCACAAGCGTGTTCTCTCAAATGAAAATGATGTCACAGAAAAATTATTCCTACGTAATTTATTATTCATACACGTATTTTTTCGCATTATCTCATTCCTATTGTCTTCCTAATTAAGGATGTTTTGTACCTATTTTCAGAATATTGAGAATTTAATGAAAATTGTACAGAATGTCCTTACATATTTAGAATTTTCAGTCCAATTTTTAAATCGATATGAAGCTGAAATTTGTACAAGTTACTCCTCGATGATTCTTAGACGAATAATTCACGTGAAACAAAGCGCCTATTCTCAAAAATGAAACTTTACTAGACATTTTCTTTCTTGCATTATAAAGAAACTTATAAACAATTTGGGAGAGATATCATAATTTTATAATTTTAATGCATTATATATTTTGTATTAATTTAATATTAATTAAGGATGTTTTGTACTTATTTTCAAAATATTGAGAATTTAATGAAAATTATATAGAATGTCCTTACATATTTAGAATTTTCAGTCCAATTTTTAAATCGATATGAAGCTGAAATTTGTACAAGTTACTCCTCGATGATTCTTAAACGAATAATTCACGTGAAACAAAGCGCCTATTGTCAAAAATGAAGCTTTACTAGACATTTTCTTTCTTGCATTATAAAGAAACTTATAAACAATTTGGGAGAGATATCGTAATTTTATAATTTTAATGCATTATATATTTTGTATTAATTTAATATTAATTAAGGATGTTTTGTATCTATTTTCAAAATATTGAGAATTTAATGAAAATTGTACAGAATGTCCTTACATATGTTTAGAATCTTCAGTATAATTTTTAAATCGATTCAGTATAATTTTTAAATCGATTTTAAAGCGTTTATGAGTTATAAGGATTTTAATTTGCACCGAATTGATATGTGTTCTTATGGGAAACGTATAACCACGTCGATTCAAATGACAATATTCAGAATTTGTTAAAAATTTGCATAAGTTTAGATACAGAGGAATATTTGATCAGGATACAGAGGAATATTTGATCAAATAATATTATACAAGTACTAACTGGTTAAAAAGATATTAAATATAATTTAATGAAGTTAGCTATGTATCTGTCACAAGGCGAAATTCTCTGCAAAAAGTTAATCATTTCGATTGACAAAATTCGGAATATTTCAGTAAAAACGCAATAAATATTAAAAAATACATCTCTGCTCTGTGGATATTCGTCAATATTGATTTTCAGCTACTTTTTGCTGGGATTGTACATACAAAACATCCTTAAAAAAATATTAAGAATTTATAACAAGTATTCAAAGTAAATACTTTTAGATGAGAAAAATATAGAAGATTTTGTTCCTAAAGATCCTAAAATATAAAAGATTCTGTTTCTAAAATGATATTTTCTCAGTTCGAAGAGAGAGTAATATACTTCCCTTTTTCATAAAAATTAGAGCTGTCACTTATAATTCAAAACGAACACGCGCATAATGAGAACGGTATCGCATGTAATAATCCAATTTTGCAAGTTCATCGAAATTACACGCGCCAGCTTGATTCTATCGACATCAATTTTTGCTGATCCTTGTCAGGCCGTTCAATCCACTCTGCATGACAGGTTTCGCTCGTTCGTGACATATACGCAGTCACGGCTGCATATGAGAGTCGCCTCCGCTCGGAGAACATATCTTATGGTACTTGTCAATTTCGACACGGCGAATGACGAGGCACATTGCCTCGTATCCTGCATGCAATGCGTATTTATATTCACGGCAACTCGTATCACGCTGCTGATGCAATGCGTTTCCATACCCTGCGTGTGCCGATTTCGGCGTTAAGCAGCTAGGATGTACAAATAAACATATTGTACCGAAGCAATACGAGATAGCACTCCTCGTACAGATTATATTTTGCATATCTAAGCTACATCATTTCATTTATTAAGAAAGTATATATATTAAATTTAATAATTTCCCGCTTTAAGATACAGCCAAATCTTATATACTTTCAGTATTTTTTCATGATTCGTCTTGAAAGGATCAATGATATTAAATTATTGTATCCATTTACGTAGAAAATGCAATACTCTTTCTACGTAAATGGATACTCTTGTATCCATTTACGTAGAAAACGCAATAAAAAGAGTACAATCTAATATGATAAAATTTTGTCTCGATTGATGATGTAAGTATCTATCAAATTTTTTTACAATGCATTTAATTCGCAAATTATACCATACATATACATTATATTACTTGTATAAGTTTGTCATAAATAGGCTTTAAATTCTCTAGTTTCGGCTCTATATCAGAATAAGAAGAAAATTTTTATTAATAAATGTCATCTTTGCAAACGAATCCTTCGAAGAAGGATAAATCTTGGCAGAACTCGTATTGATTAGGACTCTATTGCGTGTATTTGGCCTGAATATCGCGCGCCAATTCATACGTTGCGCAGCATACATCCTACGGCCTTTGCGTCAGGGATGTACCGGGGTAAAACCGCGAACGACAATTTGTCAGCGCGCGCGACAGCTTCGTTTAAACTGGAGTAACTTTCCATTGTTCTACGAGAACAATCGTGCGGATCGTGGAAAGTCAATGCGTCCGGGTTTCGCGTGATTTCCTGCATCTCGCGCTGGTGTGTCACGTATATTTATATCAATTTTTTTTCCTTTCATCTCCGCGCACTTTTTTATATATGCGTGTCATGCATCTTGCTTCTTGCATTAAAAACCACCCGAGAAATGCAGAATTTACATTGATGTTAAATTGACGAAATTTATCTAGCTTTCATTGTTTCATTAGTCATTAGTGTTTACAAGCGAATTGTGTACCAAAACGGCATATCTGATATTTGCTAGTGTCGTATCAATAATCACTGTTAATTCTCGTATTTAATGTGTTCAAAAATATACGTTTTATAAGTAAAAAATGATCAATTTGCTATATTATTACACTGAGGGAAAAATTTTTTTTAATCAAATAAATTTGTTTTCTTGAAACTTTTACTTTAAATGGAAGGAATTGTTTATTTTATTTAAGCAAAATCATTTAATTTTAATTAAATATGCATGTTATATTAAGTACATTATTTTCATTTATATATTTTTTATATTTAAATACTATTTTCGTAAAATATATACTATAATTTATTAAATTAAATATATTATTTTTTAAAATTAAAAAATTTTAAATTTTTGAGAATAAAATATGCATTTTAATAAATATTTTGTAAAATTAAAATAAAAATATTTAATTAAAAATTATATTTTTTAAGCATATATTTTCTTAAACATATATAAATAAATACTTAACTTAAACAAACAGACGTTTTGAATACGTTTTAAATACGTGATTAGTACCCACCGAATAAATAGCTTTCTTGAGTTAACTAAAATTTTTTTATTTCAAGATAATTTTTTCTTCAATGTATATATCTGTAAGATTAATAAGGAACAAAGCCAAAGAAGAATTTGCAAATTTTTTAAGGAAGTGTAAACTTTACGTCATATTTGCGAAATTTAATCTCTTATTTTTAATTATAAGAAGAAGAAAACATAATAGAACTTATGATTTATGCTGAATGACAGATGGACCTATGGTGCATTGCGTGTGATGTACGTGACAAGACTCATGATGCCTGTTAATGAGCGATGCGCAGATCGCGCGGAAGGCGAGCCAGCAAATAGGTTGGATTAAGCATATCGTTATAATGGCTTATTACGTTGTCGGTGCTCGATCGATTGACGGTACCCATAATTTTGCGAAATTAATTTCCCCTTGGCGCGGTACATTTGCGATAACCTGCTTCTGCGTTGGATAATACAAGCGTATACTAATCATGCGAAAGATAGGCAATGCATGAACATTGTTTTTGCATCGAGATTAAATGCATATTTTACATTGAACAATAATATTTTATGGAAACATGGAAGGATCACATTATTTTCTATCTCTAAATCTACTTAATTAATCTGGTTAATTAAATATTGCCATAAAACATATTTTTCATTTCTTGCTATCTTTGCTGAATGCGATTTGCTTATTTTATGTTCGCTTTATTTAATTAATATGAAACTTACGCATTTAATATTAAAATACGTAATATAAGAATTATGCTGCCCATAAATAGGATGAAAAATATTTATTAGTAAAGACATATCTTTTCCATCTAAAATATCAGGAAAGTTGCTGCGTTTAAGAAATTAAGTAAATATGAGACCCCGAGAGGGTCTTCTTTCTCTCTTTCTATCTAGCATATTGGGAGATATTAAATTTATTTTAAACTTTATGAAAATAGTTTACGTTTTATATGATGCAAAAATAAAAAAGCGCATGTTATATATTTTAAATGAATAGAATATTTTCATATTTCCAAACTGGATATTATTGATCGTACTGATTAATGCTACTTACGATTTTCATGTAGTTAATAAGTGAGTATCCATGAGGCCAGGTGTCGGTTGATTCGCAGGATAATGGCTTGATATCGATTTGCTGGGACGTATCAAGATCGTGCAATGCCTTGGCGAAGAGATGGACGGCATCGTACAGTAAGGATGTTTCAGTCTGTGAATTATAATTGACAAGATGTCATCAACGAGAGAGATACGTTTTGCACAGGCTATATTTCACACAAAGTAGCAAAATTGTAAAATATTTTAAATGCAGAAAAAAGTTTATATGTCGATTTTTCGCGAGTTATTGCCAACTATAAAATTAAATCAAGCGCACTTGATTAATGAATGATTAGTCATGAATACGGAGAAATGATAGAGGCAGATCGACGATTTATTATTTTACTAATAATAGTGCGTATGCATGACTCATTGTCAATCTTATGAAGGGATACTCGCGGAGTCACGCGACACGTGAGTGAAATCAGCTGCTTGTCATCGCGTCGTACTCCCTTATCTGTATTTCTGATCGTGAGGATTTGCAGCGAATTGAGACGAATTGCGTATGAAAGTCGAAATTGTGCAACATCTTTCCGTCTAGAATGAAACTATTTCGATCATGTAATAAAATCCCTTCTCCCTGTAACACATTCTTTCGTTATTGATATTTCTTGAGATCATGTGGCTTTATATGTTTTGTACACAGAGCATGTATATACTGGATGTTGTGGAAAATGATAATAAGGTTGTCTCCTATATCGAATTTCGATACGATTTTTCTTGCGCATAAAAATTGAGAGGCAATATCTTCTGCAATTCTTCAATTTTCAATATAAGAGTACCGTGCTGAAATTTATGGGGCGCTAGCCAAAAATTCATACATATTTTAGTTTTTTTGAATAAACAGAGAGTAATGTAAAGTTTTCTGCGTATGATTTTTCTTGCCTAGAGTTTGACATATTTATTAATATATCCATTGCTTGAGCGAAATGCGTTATATTACTACAAATTTATTATAAAATTATAATAATTAATTATTTATTATAAAATTATAATTATTAATTATTGAATATATTGAATTATGTTATGGATTTTTGAAAAATATCCTATCTATTTATATATCCTCTTAAAAAAAGAATCAATGTATGTGACATTAATAAACGCTTGATTCTAAAGAAGAATATTTTATATCGTCGATTTAGAAATCTCAAGCAAAATCTTATCTTCCGTGCTTAGGACATTGAAATTATCAAAGAATGCGAGAAAAAGAATGGAAAAGCTAGATCTCGAATCTTTCACAAGAAAAATCGTATTTGTTGGTGAAGATCGAACGGAATTCTCGTTTCTGCTCCAACGCATGCGGAGGACGAAAGGACGAAAAGCTCGGCTTCTGGAGGATTTCACGGCAAATTGGTGCCTCTGTTTCTCCGACATTTATATTTCGTAACTCGCGCGTAGCTGTAAAAGCGGTATCATCTTAGATATCGCGCCGTGGGGTGTACATTCCTTCCGATATATTCGGGACAACCAATATCCTTACTGGATTTTACGAGGCCTCGTCCGGAAGGCGTATTTACGCAGGTACGAGTCAATGTATACGATTCACATGTTTCCCAATACGAAGGGACCGTAAGGTGATATCCTTATATAGATACCCCAAAGTTTCGGACAAATAGAAGTTTCATGAGAAAACGACGTTTTTTCCTAAACTTTATTCATTATTCGCGCATCATTCGCGGAATATAAAAAAAAGAATATATATCAAATACGCGATTATATTAAAATTGCGTATTGAAAAATATATTCTGAATGTGATCGGCAAAATTTCTTTTTTTATGTTATCTTCGAAAATATTTCTTATTGAAATAATTTTATTTTTTTGTCTGTTGTTTTATAAAAGAAATTCAAATGGTATCTAAAACCGTTTCTATAGTTTTTGACACTTCACAAGCAAGTAAAAAATTTATTTCGAATATGATTACACAGCCACATAATCGGAATCATAAATAGTTTTATCATAGCTTTTTCAAATTTCATTTTATTAAAAAAAAATTAAATTTGTATTTGCGTTGAATAGTTTGTCTTCTTTTATACCAAATATCTTAGAATATCTATAATTTTTCATAATATAAAATTTTATAATAAAAATTATAAAATAAAATTAATAATTTCGTTTTTATAATTTTATTTTTCTTCTTTAATTTTAGAGAATATAAATTTCAAAAAAGATAGTGCAATATATTTACAACAATACAACATAACGATCGTATAGTTTAGTATAGCTTCTCATAATTATGATCGAGTAGCTTTTCTTCATCAAGCATTCTCATTTTCACCGATAATAATTTATTCACAAATAATCAATTATAAGTATAAAAATAATCCCAATCATTTTAAATCATACTCTTATAGAATTCGAAAGCATTATTTTAATGAACTTTAACAACTATAACATTTTTTATCTATAACTTTTTTTTATAACAATGTATATATCTAACTTACCTTTATAGTAGTGAGATTATTCTGTTCCACGCGTGCATGAAGAAAAAACACAATTTAATATTCTATTTAATTTTAAAAATATTTTTATAGGAGGATTATAAAAAAATATTATATTTTATTAGAGAAAGACTTTTTTATACTTTATAAGAGAGAGAGAGAGATTGGAAAAATAAAATTAATATGATGTACAGAGCATTAGATTGAATAACAGAAAGCATCGATTTTAAAATAGAATAGGATAGCTTTTAATCATCTGTAGAAAGCTGGAAATGTGAATATAGTTGCTAATTATTAGAATACAAATTTGTGCCACGTAATTACTACTTCTTATGTAAATCTAATAATGCGGATCGTCGCAAAATAACCCATAATTTACGCACAAACTTTGAATAATTCGACAATATCACTCGTTACAAATATCACATCTAATCAAATCAATATATTGTCCGTTTGTTTGTCATCAGGTTTGAATACGCGATTGAATTAATTAGCCTGACTTTGACGCGCTCGTAATAGGATTGTCGACATTCTCTCGAACGACAGACATATCCCCGTTACGGAATTTGGCCAAACGTGATTGTTCGTTATGCGACAACGCCGTTGCGTAACGTTGCTATTAAATTTCGAATGACAGTGTCGCGACACGACAGAGACATGAAATAGACTGAATCATCTCTCAATTAAATCAATGATGTCTATTTAATGTTTCATCTAAATCCTTCGAATATACATGTATGATATATTATTAAATTAATGATGCATTGCTAGTTAGAATTAATTGAGAAATTATTACACCTTCAAAAATTTGCTTTTCTAAAATAGGTTAATCACATAAACTAAAATAATTTTCATGTATATGAAGTTTTGATTTTGTTTGAAGTGAATTATAATAGTTCATATTGTGTATAAAGCATCTTTAACTTTAGAAAAAAGGGGAAACATATTGTTAAATCGCATTAATTCATAGAGTTCCTTAAAATGTTTAAAAAAATATTAATCCAAAAATATTAATCCTATTAATTTAATTGTTTCCTTTAATTAAAATACAAGATTTAGTTATCGGTAAATAAATCACGGTTTTTACAAAAGCGACCAAATGCTCGAATACAATGAATGGAAATGAATATAATAAAATTGCGAAATGCTTTCTTGAAGAATTGAATGTACGAGATGTTCTTGGTCCTGTAAGTTTTCCGGAGAGGAATCTGCAGACCTAGCGGCCATTGTGCCGGTTGGATAATCCACCCTCTTGGCGGTAACCGGCCTCGTGTCGAGGGTGGAAACGCCCTGGAATTTGCCCTTTACTGATAAATTTCCCATGAATATAACGCCTATCCGAGATAGGGGTTTTCTGTCGATTGCACGATCTTAAAGGTATTCGTTCTATAAGGACAAATCCTGACGGAAAATGTGCTCTCATTTGTATATAGATGAAGAGGGACGAAATTTGTCTCCATTTATTAGTGTTCATTCTCATGTTAATAAGTGCATAATCTGCTTTTTTCTAAATCTTCAAGAACTTGCAAGATTACTGTATGCTTTTATAAGAATTGTTAAATTTTGTCAAAAAATAAGAACTCTAAGCTTACAAATAAAAAAAAATTAAGCATATTTCAACTGTATCTTATTTTTTCATCAAATAGTATCTTTTACTTTTTTGAGTTACTGAAAATGGTTCGAAAATGTTCTATTAAATTTTCTCTTTTCTTGAAGCTTTGTTTCAGATTTTTTACGCGTCTGATTCTTACTTATTCGTTTTTAATTGAACTAATCTAGTTTTTTTTTAATTTTTGTTTATAAGAAATTACATTAAGACAACATTGTAAATATTTTATTTGGAAAAACCTGATTAATTATTCAAATTATTAAAACGTTTACTAATTTTAAACGTTTTCGAACTTTTCTAGTGATCATAACATAAAGTATAAGAAACTCATTCATGACGTTGTTATCAAGTTTTAATAATAATAATGTGATGATAGAACAATCTAGTGACAAATATATATTTATTATCAACGAAAGATCTGAATCTTTCTATAACTTTAAATATCGAGTAAAAGTTTTTCCTTATAATAGTTGTCGAGAATAAGAAAGTGCAATCTTACTTAAGAGTTTGAATTCTAATTCAAGAAGTCCGCTTGTTCTTTTTTTATTGTAATTTTCATATTTCTGATTTTGAGATAATACTGATAAGTCCAACAGTCGACATCTTGCTTAAAATTGTGACACTGTACTTAATGAATTGGCGAATCGAGAAAGTTTTTTTACTGATATTTCTTTGCATGCCACGAATCGATAGCGCACCGTAGTCTTTGGTGCAATTCATTTTGCGTGACTTCAATCGACGATTTTATAAGATTATTTTATTTTATAAGATTGTACAAGACCGAGTGTGTTTCTTTGTGCCAATACTTTATTGTCCTCTTCTCGCTGGAGCAAGTAAGTGAAGATGCACTATCTATCGTCACGACGATATCTTTCGAATTATTGACTGTCTCTTCAATAAAAAACCATCGCGAATTCTATCCGCCTATATCATATGATGAAAATAAAATATATTAGCAAGCACATCCCCGCAACAAAGGAGAGATTTTATTTCAATTTTCTTTCATCGTGAATACATTTTGATTAAAGAATATAGAGTAAACTTGATATGCTTTTTATGCAAATATCGATTAAATTTTCAGCTATATTTTTTCTTTCTTAGATATGTTATTTCTCAAATATATAATATAATTATTATATATGTTAATGAATTAATCAAAAGCAAATTATTAAATAATTAATATAATAATAATAATAATAATTAATAAATTTAAAGCTAAATTATAGCAAAGCAGTGTAAGAATTAAAGGTATAAATAAAAAAAAGAAAAAGAAAGAGAGAAAGAAAGAGAAAAATGTTGGACATGATTAAAAATAAAAATGATTTTTTTTCTTACTGTATGTATCAGGTCAGGGCGTTACTGTATCAATATAATAGCGATTGGAAAAATGTAATAAGCCATCTTCTATATACGCCTATATATGTCTATATATATGCATGTACCATACGCATGATCCGAGAAGTCATTTTCTCCGTGTTATGAACGGGTCACAGATCAAACGGGTGAGGGTCTTTTAAGAAAAAAGAAAAAATGAAACTACTCTGAAATTATAAAGAGAAAAAAAGAGAGAAAAATATACGTAATTTATGGTAGTCTTAAAATGTCTGAGGTCTACTTTGTCGGCAATCGTAATTAATTAAGTTATAAATTTTATTAAATTTATTATGTATATAATACGAATTCTACCTTTCTATTTAATCCTGTTTTAATATAATGTTTCTTTTTAATTTAGTTATTTTTATTCTATTTTGTATACATTACTTTTATTTATCAAACATTTTAAGCAAATTAATTTAATTTAAATAAAAATATATGAATTTATTAAAAACGTATCATGTTAAATTCTAAAAGTTGTGTAATATAAATAAGATCGACATCTTCACAAAACTAACTACCTATATTATTCAATATTCATTCAGTATTTTGTTCTTTTTTTTCTATATGTATTTTCTTTATAAACCTATATATTGAAAATGCAATGCTTAATACATCTTATGATTATTTCTTATAACTTTTTAATTTTTTCTTATATACATATATAAATAATCTGTTTGGCCTTATGATATAGAGTTATTTATCTATAGCATAAATACATCAAACAGATTAGTATATACTATATTAAAGTTGCTATATTAAAGTTATTTATATAATATTTAAAATAAATTGTATAAAAATTATAAACAATACAGCATCTCTTCCTCACTCTTTCTCTCTCTCTTTCAAAATATATAAGATCACAAAATCGGATGTAAACAATGTTATTAAAAGAGAAATTGCATAAAGATAAATTATAAAAAAATAATCACTATTTTTAAGCGTAAAAAAAGTTAATATTAATATGCTTGAATCGTGTCTCGCCTTTCGCGTGAAAAAGGGAAACGACGTGAGAAAATATCTCTTGCGAAATAATGTCGCTATTGCAATAGACGATGCAGCAGATCCGTCACATTCTCGTACGGGATGCTGCAGCTACGCGTATACCGCAGAACATCGGCAAAAAGTTGTTGGAAAGTTTGCACGAACGTGCAACCGTGTCGGGGTAAATTGGCCTTTTTAAGGGTCCGGCGCGCTGGACACGGCAGATGTTGCTTCCGTCGAAATAGCCGAACGTACGGATTCGCGCTTCTCAACTTTTCTGCAGTTGATTCCGTGCCAGATGCGACGTAGAATATAATTCGCTTTTCGCGAATTGGCGTTTCGCTATTTGCTCCTTTTATGGCGCGCTGATAGTTCATTCTAGAACGGATTCGGGGATATCGCTCTTAAAATTCTGTAAAATGTATAACGCGGGCGATACAATATTCATGGCTTATGCAAAATTCGAAAATATACTGTTTATTAAAGAAGCAAAAAAATTTGGAATTTATTTAACACGTTATATGGGAATGATTTACGTGTTACGTGAGACTATGGCAATTTTTTACCGCAATTCTTTTTTACGATTTCGCAATATAGATGCATCGAGCTAAACGGAAGTTTATCGTAATTCCGAATTTCTGAGATCAGATTATATTTACATTCGTGAAATTGGGAGAGAATATTTTTTTATACAAGCATTATTTAATTATATAATTATTATTTAATTATATTATATAACTATAAATAATTATATATATATATATATATATATATAATTATAATAATTATATATATAATTATTTATTTATATAACAAATTTTATTATCACGTAGTGCACAAGAAGCTATTACTTTATTTAAGCTTAAAATGTAATCAACGGCATATGTTTAATTAATAGAATAAAATATAAAATATATTAATATATTAATAAAATACAAATACAGAATTAGCAAGAGAAATATGTTTCTTTTTTTTAATATTGTTTTAATATACGCGTATTTGTTTGCGAAAGAGCATTCTTTTGAAGACAGCTACGTTTTATGTACATATATTGTTGCTTTTCCAGATAATATAATGCATGCAAAATATATATGAATGTACCTCGCATAGAATGAACGTAATAAATACATTAGCACATTATAATTGCAGACTGCGGATGTAAACGAAACAATAACAAGAATGAGAGTAATAATCTTGGGAATAATCTTGATGGATGAATAGAGATAAAGAAACTGAGATGACTATTATTATATTTCTCAAAACATCATGAATATAATTATTTTCTAATAATTATATTCTATTAATTAATGGAGTGCCAGGCAATCAATGTTCATCGGATGATAAACATACAATTTGTCTTTAAATCAATATATTTTTTATTTTAATGAGTGTTTAAGAAGTTTTATTTTAATCAGTATTTAATAATAATAAATTTCTATCCGCATAGTCGTAATAATGCATGCGCGCATATTATATAAAAAATAAATTTTTAAATTAATTTAGTAGAGAAATATATTAAAATGTTAATATCGTGATGATATAATAATAATGTGATAAATTTTAATATAAGAAAGGTTAAATTAAAAATTAAATTAAGTTATATTTAAAAAATTGTTTTTTTAAATATTATTTATATTATGAACAATTTCAATTCGTTTACTTTTATGAAATCCTTGGAATTATTAAATCTTATACAGGAAACGAGTACCTAAGACTCATGTTATAATTCTATATGCTACGTATATCGACTTAATCGATACGTCCAATAAAATGTCGACACCTAATGGAAGTACCTGCGAACTCGCGTGTACCTTCTATATGTACACGTGTATATACGTATGTACCGATTAATTTGCCGTCGTTTCATTACGCCGCCATGTACAGAATATGTGTTTGATAGAAGTAGGTAAACTGTACATGTAATTTCCTGTGCTGCGAGTTGCGCGACGTTCTCGCCTTCGTACGGAAATGTTTGTACTTGAAATCGGCTTAGAAGAAGTAAAAAAGTATTATGCAAACCGCATCTACGAACAACGCGGAAATCATGTTTACGCATGGACTATTACATTTTGCCTGACTTGATCTTTATAAATTAAAAATATACGTAAAATCAGAAATCCTCTTGCGCTCATAATTTTATGAATCGAGAAAATGTAAAATTAGAGGTATCTTATAATTTCGATATTAATGTTACGGATAGGAATCGCGTAATATAATATTACATTATAGACTTAAGATTCAGTAATATAAAATTACAGATGGTTTATACATTATATATTTTACTTGCGATATTAATGTAATTTTACGAATATTAATATTTGTCGTGCCAAATATTAATATTTGTTTCAATAATTAATTGAAAAAAATATATATATTTTATTTTTATTATTCATTTAATATTAAATTGTGCAAGAATATCTGAAATTTGATATAGAATTTTTGGTCTTATAATAATATTCAGATAAATCTTTTACGTAGATATATGTGTGTTAGATAAAATATTTCAAATAAATTATTAAAATGATATAATGATGCTTTTACAGGCATATTGTAGAATATAGATTTTGATCTATAAATATGTAATTGTGCAAAATTGTTTTATTTTTATAAAAAGTTCCAATTGGAAATTTTAAATAATTTTCCAATATGTACAAAAGGAACAGCGATAGTTGTACAAATTCATATTTGCATATGTATTCTTATCGGTTATATAAATTCTGTATATTTTTATAGTAAAAATATACAGAATATATATCAGAAATATATATATTATTTCTGATAAACTTTTTAAATTTGAAATTAATTTATTTACATTAGAAATTTGATCGGGTTTAATCTACATTTGATATTTCATGATGTTTAATATTTATAAATTTTAAATCATTCCACAAAAATCACTTAGTATGAAAAATATGTTTTATACTTATGCTATAAATTATCAATATTGTTTTATTTTTAATCATTGATAATTAAAATATTAAATTCGAAAATTGATAGGTCATTTTGACAGTTACAATTACCTTATGTTTTGGTTGCTAATATTTGTTGTTCGAAAAAAATATGTGACTGACTTAAATATTCTGTGTAATATTCATCTAATTATGAAGATTTAACCTTTTTTCGCGTTGCGCAACACAAATAATTTAACCGAGTGAAAATAAGATTCGACCTCAATTCGATCTCTTCCATAGAATTTGCATTCTTACGAGAATCAGCACGTGTTATGGAAGAATTTTCCGCAGTGCAATCAAGTTTCGAATATAAGGTATCACTCAATTATTATGCTTATTCATTTATTCTCGACTATGTCAAAAAGCGCGAGATGGCTTCCGCTAAGTCTCGAGAACAAAAGAACCGAGAAGTAGATCGATGCGGCTGTCAGACTGGCTTGAGCGAAGAATGCGAAATTAGAGTGTTATTACGTGAGACGGGCGGCCGCTTTAAGGACGGGAATATATTTCGTCATAGAACGATCTTTACATTTGCATATATAACGTTCTATGTTTACATACACGGACGCTGCATATATATATATCTCGCGTATATTATTTATATTTATACTTTATGCTTTGAGAGCGAAATATCGGCATCGGAGAAATAAACGACTTCGGTATAGCTGCTTCAATGCCGCAGCAGCGGCGATCTATACTACTGTAACTAATTCCTGCGCGAGATGCGCCTTACCTTGTTGCTGTTCTGTCCCATATCGAGCTCGCGATTATAGCGCTTCTCGCCATAAATCCAGTCCTGGATTACCTTCTGGATTTCCGGCTTCTCCGGATCCACTAATCGAAAGGCAGTGATATTGGTCCCGCCGTGCCTGAATTCTTCTAAGTCGACGGTATGCAAGTCCTGAAAAGAGGAGAATTCCGATCAATCGTGACATAAATTCCTATTATCAATCACATACTTTCGTACTAAATCATGGAATTTCATATCAGATATACCACACATTCCATGTGGTGTATGTATATATTCCATTATGTGTTATAGTTTCTCTTTTTCGCATTCTAAGTGAATATTTATAGATATTTCTACAAGACTTATACTGATCACTTATTTTTCTGAGAATGTTAATATACAGGGTGACCCATTTTAACTTAGGCAGCCAAATAACTCGAAAAATAAGCACACTACGAAAAAATGGTTAGAATCAAAATTTCGTCATTTCGAGGGGGACGTACAATGACGTTAAAATCAGCCCCCCCACCCCTCCCCCTGGGCGGTGAGGGGGGGCAAGTTTGAAATCTTAAATGGAACCCCCTATTTTTCATTGCATATTCTTGTAGCTTATCTCGAGAGCTTTCCAAAACACTATAATTAAGTACCTTTTTATTAAGTACTTTTTGAGTTATAAGGCTTGAAATAATTTCTTAATTTTACATAAACCATAAAATATCTAGTAAACCATTCATTTTTCGATTATCTTACCTTCATACTTTTATGTACAAAATAATGAGAGGAATCAATTGGTGTAAAGAAAACACATAGTTGTTTCTAAGAAAAAATATGTAATTTGCAATTAACAATTCCATATTTTTTCTTAAAAACAACTGTATGTTTTCTTTACACCAATTGATTCCTCTCATTATTTTGTACATAAAAGTATGAAGGTAAGATAATCGAAAAATGAATGGTTTACTAGATATTTTATGGTTTATGTAAAATTAAGAAATTATTTCAAGCCTTATAACTCAAAAAGTACTTAATAAAAAGGTACTTAATTATAGTGTTTTGGAAAGCTCTCGAGATAAGCTACAAGAATATGCAATGAAAAATAGGGGGTTCCATTTAAGATTTCAAACTTGCCCCCCCTCACCGTCCAGGGGGAGGGGTGGGGGGGCTGATTTTAACGTCATTGTACGTCCCCCTCGAAATGACGAAATTTTGATTCTAACCATTTTTTCGTAGTGTGCTTATTTTTCGAGTTATTTGGCTGCCTAAGTTAAAATGGGTCACCCTGTATATTTTAATAAATGTTATCTTATATTAAAAAACGAAATATGCATTTTTGGATCAAAATAAAATTTGACGGCAAGGAAAGATCATAAAAATAATAATAAAAGTAAATTTTGAAATAAATAAAAAAGTGTTTTTCTTTTTTAAATTGATATTTTCTTTGATCTGAAATTTTTATAGAGAGGGAATTTATATAATGGATTAATTATGTAAGATAAATCTCAATCCAATTTACGGTAAAGCTAGCATGATATTAAACTTTTCCGGAGAGGATTCCCTCTCACGATATAGCGTTCTACAACTTGCTTCCGACTCTGTAAGATCCTAATCACTTTGACAGATGTCGAATCTAGTAAAGCTGGGCGATTTCTGTGTGATTTTCAAGGGGAAATTGATGTTTTGTTTCAAACATTTTCTATTAGAGTTTTATCAGTTTCTCCTTATTGCGAAAATTGTATCCGATTTGTTAGAGAAAAAAATATTCACATTATTTTCATTCTCTACATTATCTTATCTTTTTGCTAGATTACACTTATTAATTTTAATATTTAAAATTTGTAATTTAATAACTAACATAAGAATAAAATTGAAATCTATTTTACGTATGTGAAACTTGAAAAAATAAATTAAATAACCACAATGAGTACAAACATATTACAGAATTAGAATGTTTTCGGCAAAAAATTAATGCAATGATTATTGCATGTCATTTTAATAAATTTTAATAGATCAATCGCTCATCGTATGTATCGAGATTACTCCAATATATAATATTATAAGATATAATAAATCGTTATTTATTTTCGACATGATCGACAGCTGAATATGAAGAATGAATGAAGAATGTGAGTTTGCATTCTCTGTGATGTATTCAGTAGCTATCAGCGGGAATGAAGATAACTCAAGCAGGAGGATCTGCTTCATGCGGGCCGATATCTGTATCAGTTGACGCTGGTGGTCCGACGTGATTTAAAGTCGCATGCAGCCGAAGGCGCATCCCAGTTCCCATCTTTTCGAATACTCGTGGAGGATCGCGCCGCCGCGGCCATTTATTATCCTTTGTCCCGCATACGAGAACATGATGGATAAGTTCGATATTCTCGATCTGCTGTCTTCGCAAGTAAATCGACACACTTGGCGACGTACCCACGTTCCTAATGTCGCGCGGATCGATTGACCGTCACTTTGGTGATCGATCATCATCTCACCTCTGACTACATCCAGTCTGTCCTCCTTCGAGACACGTTGCAACACGACATCGAAATCGTATATATCATGTACAATAAATGTAATAGTTGTGGATAACGATTACGAACTTTACTTATATTTAATATCGTTCTGTCTTTTACTATTTCTGCAACAATTATTGTAATATTGATACAGAGAAAGAGCAATACATGATAGCCATAAAGAAAAAAAAATTATTGTCAATTCTAAAATTATTATGACTAGTCCAATAATTGTATTCATAATATAATAAAGTGAAGTGTCGATATATAAAATTTTTTCTTAATAAAACTATTGCAAAAAGAAGATACTTTTGGAATAAAAAAGAAATCAAAAAGGTTTTTAATAAATGAAAATATACAATAGTCAATGAATAAAAAAAATGTACGAATATTAAAGTTTGGATAGACATATCGATATATTGATTATTGAATGATTCCGAAACACAGTATAATTAAATCTTTATTAACGAAAAAATTGATTCCATCATCCATATTAATTCCATTCTATATTAAAAAATCTTGAATTATTCTGTATGTGAATATGTGACACTGGCACTTGCAATAATAAAAGATAAAACTAAGAGAAATATTATAAATACGTCATATAAAATTATTATGAAGATACGATTAGAAAATATATAGTTAAATCTGTTTAAATAAGTTAATATAGTTAAATAAATAAAAATAAGAAAAATACAAAAAGAAGTTTTCATGAGTGAAATTAATAATTATTGTGCTTTAGTGTTTTTACTTAATTTTTAATGAATTTAAAATTATTACTTTTATTAATTCGAAAATTATTACATTCCTCTATTTATTTATTAGTTTTAATCGATACGAAAAAATTTAATACAAAAGAATTTAATAAAAATTTAATTTATTTCAACGTATAGTTTAATAAAACTAATGTTTAGTTATAGTTGAAGGAGTTACTGATAAAGCGGGAATAACAGAGAGGAAAACTCGAAGAATTCTTTCGCAAGGACACAACCGCACGAATGTTATTATTACGGTTCCGTACGTGCCGGTATAACTTCTTTCAGCGTGACGATTCACAACAGCCACATTGTGTCTCCCATTTCACGTGTGACATTTTATTAACATGTTTCAGAATCGCATGGAAAAACCGTGCGCGCGCGTCATGTGGGATGCGTATATCACGCATAAATGACTATTGATCGATCGCCACACGATCTGGTGGCCGCAGTCCCGATATGAATATCTGTCGGATACTTTTCATCCATAACGCTGATGGGAAACAGATTGCTGTATCCTCTTCTCGTCTATTCGTCTCGATACGGAAGCCGTGTAAATATACACGCGATATCGGATTTTCGTTCACCTGCAGGAGTAACAGAGGAGCGAGTAACAAAGGGACCGGCTTTATTCTCAGCATGTTATCATCGTGCCCGCGGAATATGGATGCGAAACCGGAAAGAATATTGCTTTTCACACGGCATATTGCGCACTGCGCACCGCGTAGCTGCTGTGGGATCTGTCATTAAATTTTCGTTCGCTAGTAACTCGTTTGAAACGGGAACAGCCGGCGCGTACGAATATGTACGTGGACACGAAGAATATCGTCGAAACTGTTTGACAGATGGTTTTGCAGGGATGTGTATTACTGTACACGGTGCGCAACTATATCTGGTTCGGTCATATGTCAGAGTTATTTTGCAGCAAGTTTTTAAACATCTAATTTGTATTCGGTTACATTTGTGCATTTATTCGACGCGACAATTATGGATCGGTCGGAATTATTTTGAACTTTCCAATTTTTAGGGAAGAATAAACGTATATCATTTTTATCGCGATAATATATCTCAAATTTTATGTAGGTAAAAGTAAAGAATTAAAAATTGATGACCTATTTTTATCTATAAATTATTTTAAATCCTATCAAAAAAATCTGCATATAAATTAAATTTCAGTTTTTAATTCAGAAATTGAAATTTGATTTCGTTTGAATTTGACGTTGATTTGAATGAACAGATTTATTATCTGATTAATGTTAGATTTTGTATTTTCGAATTTAATAATGAAATATTTTTTATTATTTATTATTATTATTTAATTATTTAATTATTTAATTATTTATTATTATTTCGCAAATATATATATTATTATTATTTATTCCTTTTCCAGTGGAAATTTGACTTTTTAAGTGATTTTCAAAATTTTCCGATTAACTTTTTTACATTTTTCTGGTTTCACAATTTTCAGAGTAAATACCGGAGTAAATACCGTTAAGTACTCTCTTATTGAGCGAAATTTTGCTTGGAAAGTCTTGTATTTCAACGCGAAACAGGATATTTCCATTCGAGCTCGAGAGTCCTAAAGTGCGGCGCGCGAAAATCCAGCATCATATCATCATGCAAGCGATGGATATCCGTAATAAGCGCCTTAATGGCGGCTGAAGCTGTAACGACTGCAACAATCATCGTAATCATAACAGGTGTAATAATCATAATGATCGCACGACACGTCAACGTCGCTAAATTCGAAGGGTGCTCCAAAATTCGCGTGGTCCATGGAGATGCTCGCGCCCACAATTTCATTGCGAAATCACTGTTTCATGGAGCGGACTTAATTCGATGAAAGGTAATCCGTCGAAAGCCAAGCTTGCACTGACCGAGCAAGAATCATTAATGCTCTTGCCCGGTCCTCGCGGCGTCGAGAAAACAGCATCTGCTGTAACAGTATGTGTACCTATATCCGCTCATGTGTAACACAGCTGTGCAGACTTCCTGACCGTGCCGCGGAAAAGGTCAGGTTGATGGATGATGGCCAATTTTTCCCTCCGAGAGCCTTGACGACTGGCCGACGTAAGTGAAAATAAATAGTCTCCGAGTCGGGACATATCGTCTCGGGAATCGAGCGCGGCACCGTTAAATTCCCACGTGCGATGGAAATCAGCCGCGACACTAAGCAATTATTAAGCAGCCTTATCCTTTTCATCTCGTCGAGCTCTTCCATGTCGACAAATCTGGTCGCACTTGTCTAATAATTTATCACTCGCGTCTTTCCGCACTGCATTAGATTGCACCGTTTACTCGGTTTAATGTCTCTTCTTTTAAAGCTGCGTCCTTATCCTCGCTTCTTTCGCATGCGTAACAATTAATATTAATGAGGCAAGCATATCTTGTACGGTTTATATATTAATAATCTTTGTTAATAACGCACTATATTATATGATGCGTATTTTACAATAAAACCATTAACAGCGATTATATATATTATTAATGGAATTATTTCCAGCTATTGTTGAAAATGTTAAATGGAGCTTATCATATTTAATCATTCATGAAGGATTTAAGGGATTTTGTAATCATCTTTCATGCGAGGAAACAATCGAGAATTTAAATGATTGTCGAGAAAAAATGCGAACATATTTTATTTGATAAAAAACGTTGTACTTAAAAAAAATTAATCTTAGTATTCCCATTTATAGTTTTCCACGTCGCTTCTTAACGTTACGTATCTAAAGCTGTATTTGGGTCAAAGTAATATTCATGCAAGAAGGAAACTTTACGATGGATTCACCGATTTGCACTGCTACAGTGTCGTTCATGAATTGATACCAGCGATCAAAACAATTTGCCGTCAATCTGCGTAAAACAAACCGACGGTCGTCATCAGTAGAGTCAACGGGAAGAAGCCGGATGAAAAAGCATAGCTCGATTCTTTCGCGCGCGCTTGAACAAATACCCTCGCTGATTTACATTTTAATGGATCTAAATTGAAATCTGGTAAGAAAGAGAGGAAGGAGGTGCGCCAAGATAAATTGCACCGCTTGCGGTTATATGGCGTGTCCGTTTAAAGCCCTATTTATTTTTTATCACTTATATTGCCGTCGCGAACGTTGACGTCGACGCGACGACGGTTTCTCGTTCGTCTCGTCCGACTCGTCCGACAAGATGTCCTCTTCCGGATGCTCCCACTCGCGTTGCCGAGACGGCTGTAAATTACTAATTATTCTGAGACAGCTTCCCATTTTAACTACTTCCGTTCTTTCTTTTGTTCATTTGAACGAACGTCTCAACAAGTTGCGTATTTTGCGCTCGCATAACGTTTTCATTATGTTCGTTACGAGTTCACAGACGAATTTCAAACAAGCGAATTTTAATTCTTTATTGTCATTAAAAATGAAATTTCATATTCGCGATCTTATAACAAACTACGCTTTCGTTCCAATCAAGTAAATCGTTTGTTAATGTTATTTTTGCATCTTCTTTCCTCTGAATTTGTATTATAATTTATTGTGATGATTAAATTTATACTGATTTTTATTTCACTATCAAATTTCCTGCAAAATATTAATGTCTTTTTAATTTAATATTTTTCGTCAATTTCTTCTTCCCTGCAATTAAATTTTGATCCGTCTTAGTAACTCTTAATAGAGATTCGAGACTTTATTGTTATTATATTATTATTGATTATTATTGATTTAATGTTGTTTGAGATAATTACAACACGCAATTGTTGTACTTCTACATAATAACAATATTCTTGGCATCAATAACATCTATCAAATTTGTTTCGAGAAGAAGAAGAGCCAAGCAGATTATTAAATTATTCAAGATAATGATTGATTAAATTTGCGGAAATAATACCGCGGAGATTATTTAATACTATATCGAATTATTCGACATTTAACCGCATCTTCAATCACGGTAAGTCAATAGCAGTGAATGGCAATCTCTGACCAACGCTATCGTTTTTTACGGTAATCGATTTCTCGCCATTTTAGCAGTAATTTATGGGGGGCTCGAATACTCCGGGAGTAAAGTTATCGATCTTCGACTTTTGCGAGAACATCAGGTCTTTCGGCATATCTCCCTCGACTCTCTCGACATCTCGAAGACTGGAAGAGCCGCAGATGGTTCAGATGATGAAGATTGCGCAAATTAGCCTTACGAGCGACGTGCCTGATGCAATTTCGCGGGTCTTACGTCTACTCCGGATTACCTCGTGGCTTACGACGAACGGAAAGTCAATTACTAATCGCATTTAACCTCGAATACCCACCAGGGAAGTGATAAGGTAGCTGTGATAGTCGCTCATCATTCCAATCTGCTGAGCCTGTTTCAATACGTCATAGATTCTCTCGGTGGAGCAGTCCAGCACGATGTGCGATTCCGCGGAATTCTTGATTTGTTTTAGTAGCGGTCTGAAACAGAACAATAATCTATTAGTAAAATGATTCAATAATTAATAAATTAATAGATGAAAATACATATGACCGCAACAGATAAATACGTGATAAAAAAAGGCTAGAAATATCGAAAGGAGCCATTATCTCGTGCACGAACATTTCAGTATTTACATTTTATACCTTTCGGTCGAAGAAATACAAGTGAAATATAACTAGGATAAAGAGCAAACAACTTATAAAATAAATAAACTCGTCAGTCGCGGAACTAGTTAATGAGGTATGTCGACTTAATTAGTGCGAGAAAGGCAAATGCCAAATATAACGTCAAGCTTGAAATTTTCGCGGGGTCCGTTTGCTTTCGTAATGCTCTTCAGGGACGGAGTGGTTCCGATTCCGAGCATGCTTTCCGCCGTGTACCACTGATAAAAATTTCATACTGCTGCCGGCTGCTCTTCGGCCTCTCGGCTGCCCTTCGAATTCTCTCTCTCTCTCTCTCTCTCGCACGCGCGCGCGCGCGCGCTTCCCGTCATTCAACATGCACGATAATGCGAATCTCCTTGTGCAGCCCGTGGAAGTTGGGGGCTCGACTCGCCGTGGGAATTTTTCATGTGCTATGCATAATTTAGCGAAAGTGCCCTTTATGCGCGCGTTGCTCTCGTAGCCGTATCGTCCCATGAATTTCACCTCCATTCCCGCATCCGTCGACGACAATTGCATCTCTTTCCGCGTCTGCGACTTTATCGAACAATGAAACGGAGAAGGAAGAGTGTTCACAGAAAAGAACAGAGTTACGATAGTCTTGAATTATATATAGTTTCCGCTGGAATCACAACTATGATCGACTACTTGACACTTTCGACTGTTGACGTAGATCCATAATGCGTCAGAAAATTGTAAAATAGAGTTGCCGAATTGTAGTATGTTACTTTGTGGACATAAACAATTTTTTGCGAGCATTATGCTAATATAAATTTTAGAAACAATAAACTATAAATAAATAATTCAAAATAATTTAAAATAAATATTCCAAAAAAATAATATAAATATTCCGAAAAAATTTTACGGATATATGCATATACAAAAATATATTATAAATGAAAAAGAAAATTAATTTTAATATCTCTGATAGAATTATAAGATATTACATATATTCAAGAATGGCAATAATTGAATATAAAATAAGAAACTTGTATAAAATTAAAGAAAGTAAAATTGTGTATTTAACTAGAGCTAATGCAAGTTAAATATAGATTAATACGAACATATTATCCATTTTATTTTTATATGTCGATTAAGAGTGTTTTTCTAAAATTATAAAAAACATTCTCTCTCCCTCTCTCTCGATTGATAATTGTATCAATGATAAAATGGTGTTGACCTGATTATTCCATTACGGCCATAACAATTCTTCGTAAGGGAAGTTTACTATAGTAATAAAAATGCATTCAACAGAAAAAAATCATACATTTTCCGCAATGAAATAATATCTTTGGGTAGCTTTACAATTACAGAGAGAGTCGTGAAACATATCGAAGTAGCATTATTACGTTTCGACGTCAATAACTCGAAGATTTTTTTTTCTGTATTACCTTTTGACCTTCCAAGAGTTTACAGTTTTTTTATCGCATTGCTCAGCTTTTACCCGAGATTACCCTGAGGGTTAGAGCTAATTAAAATCATATGAGAAATTCCCTTTTATGATGTGGTACATCAGTTGAACATCAGTTAGTTTATTAATCCCGCAGTATGTTTGTTTAAAACTATTCGCGCATTTTTTGAGATGTTCTGAGGAAATATTCTATTTTTTGATACGTTTAATGGATTTTGAAAAAATATATTTTTAAAATGTCTAAAATAAAAATATAATCCTTTTCTCGAAACGTATTTTTGTTTTTGTTTCACTTTATAATACTACACGTGAGCGTGCGTACGTATGTGCAAAAAAACTTTAAATGCATAATATACATTCATATGTATAAATATAATATTTTAAAGACAAACAGGAAATTTTTGCATGTAGAATTAAAACTGTAAACTGATCAGCTTTAATTCCATCAATCAATAACGAGAGTAATAGTCTATTTTGGCAAAATATTATGGAGGCGTTTTGTATATGAACAAATATTTTAGTTTGACAGTAGTGCTCGTTTTGATGAAACATGCTTGTATTTCCACGATTAATGCACAATCGACAATTAATATAATAATTACAAATTATATAGCGTTTATTTGCTATGTTATGCAATGATTAATATCAATAATTGTCACTCTAAATTAATTATCATGTTTACGCTGATTCTAAACTATGTGTGTTTTTAATTATATTAATAGCTATAGATATTACAGTAATCGTATGTAAGTGAATAACCTGAGTTATTCATCAAATAGCAAATGTTAATGTGTATAACATGTACAAGCAAAATAATTTGTTAGATTGATTTCAAAGTGAAAGTTTATATTTTTGGATGTTATAAAATTCCAATGATTTGTTTTGTAATGAAAAACTGATTTGCTGACCTGCATCAATTATTCAATGTTTCATTACGCACAAAATATATGATACCCTTTTATTTTGGAAAAATGATAGACTTAGCGATAATTCTTAAAGCATAAATTTTAGCAAAGCGAATGTAAAATATTTAAGTATCGATTAAAACTTCGACTTTTGAAATTGTAAATCTAGTTATCATAGAAATTATCGAGTTGTTATCACAAATTTTGCCATAAATTATTTCGCAACGATAATAATTCTCTACGCGATGTCAAGAAAAGAAAAGAATAACTGCAGACACGAAATCTATTATAGATACATTTGTACGATATCGATAACGTGCAGTATAAACTTTGTCACCGACAAGGAACCGATTCGTCACTTCGCAAAAGATTTCTTCATGTTTGAGCTTCTTTCCTTCCCGACATAATACTCGCTATTGAGAGGTGCACTCTCGAAAGAATGAAACAGCCTAACGTAAGACGAGCAAATGTCTTCTGCTTGCTCTTTTTTTCTTTCCCTACAAGAAGACCATTTCTTGCGGTCGCTGCTCTAGATAGTTTTCAAGAGATAGCCAGTACAATAGTCAATCCCTTGCGAGAAAGGTCGAGAGATACCGTATCGTCGCGAAGCGCGTACAACGACGATAAAACAATCTTGGAATTTTTAATTCCGTCTACGAAAAGAGAATTACGAATCAGCGTCGCCAATCTTTCAACTTCTAACTTGGAACGAAAAATGAAAAAATGTACAAGACTCGTAATAGCCGACTATTTTTTTATATATAATTTATCTATAATATTATCTTCGCAGTTGATTTATGTGCGTAACGTAATGATTATAATATAAATTATATACAAATCTAACATATTAACTTACATATATGTTCATTTTACATAGATACACTGAAAAAAAAAATAATGTTGAGTTAACAACATCAATGTAATTGGAATTTATTTTATTAATTCAATAACATTATTAATCAAATCAATACATGGTGTATTAATTTGATTGAAAATGTTATTGAATTAATAAAATAAATTCCAATTACACTGATGTTGTTGGTTCAACATTATTTTTTTCTTAGTGTATTTAAAAGAATCAATTTTATAAATGTTTTAGCAAAATATATTTATTACGTGATTGCAAAATATGTTTATAAAAATATTTGTAAAATATGTGATTCTAATAAATAAAATATATTTATTATGTGATTGCGAAATATATTTATAAAAATATTTGTAAAATATGTGATTCTAATAAATCTATACTATTTCATTATAAATTGTTATATAACAAATCGCGATTCCAATTATGATAAAAATTGATTTCTTATCATGAATGATTATTGTTAAATAATATTACGGTTATAAATATGATAAAAACATTATATTTTAATAAATATAAATTAAACATTAATAAATATAAACATTATTTAAATAAATATATTTTTTACATTAATATTAAACTTTTTTCTCATCTTTCCCGATTTGAAGACACTTCTCAAATTATCTCTGGGAAGTTCTTAAGGAAATATAGTAAAAAGCATATGATATTAAGTAGCATGTTATATACCATGAAGATATGGTATTATAAATGGTACCTGTTAAAATAAATAAATAAGATTCTAATTAATTAGCATTCATTAGGACATGGTTGATACGGTGTCGGAAATTACCTTTCATTAGATACGCGCGATCGAGATACGAGTCCGTTCGATGTATAATGATGAAATGCTGAAGATCGACGTACGTTAATGAAAAATACATCCTGCAATTCAATATGTTTGATAATCAATATGCTCGATGTTACGCGCCGCTCCAATATTTGTTTTTCATCAAGGAAATGCAAAACGTTGACGACACGTCAATTCGGCGACCTCCTTGTTAACTGAATAGTTCAATTCTCCACGTGTAAGGACACGCCGAGATTACATGTTTTATCGCATATAAGAGAAATTTCTTGTCAAAATGAAATATCTTGTATCTTGTCGAGATGGAAACAATTCTTGTTTAAATTGTAATAATTATATGTGCTAGAAATTTGTATAAATTTTTCGCAAACATATATATGTACCGTGTGATAAGAGATTAGGGGATTGATTTGAAATATCTGTTCTCCCTCTTAATAATAAAAATAAACTTTATTTGTCTATTTCAATTATAATCTTGGATTTAATTTTTACTATCTCATTGTTATAATGTTATCAATATCGCTTGCAAAAATTTAATATCATTAAAATATGATAAGATATTATATCTAATATTACGTTAGTTTCACTTCATGTCAATAGTTTAATTCAATCGGTGACTGGTAGGTATTGAAATCGGATAATCAATAAAGCACACAGTTGCGTGAGTCGATTGAACGCTTTATTGCGGCTGCCACACATTGCAGGGGAGATACTTCTACTTAGTATCTGGCAGTTAGCGCGTTCATGTCGGTTACAGAGTGCTTTCATCGCCTCGGTAGAGAGTCACGGAAGTAATAAAAATAGAGCAGTGCTGCATTGTCGGTGTATTAC